TGTTCGCGGCGCGCTTCCGTCGCTGAGAGCGGGAGCCAGCGCAGCGTCGTCGAGCGAGTTGAGGTTCTGCGCGCGGCTGCGCAGCGCCTCATCGCGCGCTGCGAGCTCGGCGTCTATGTCTGCGCGCAGTTTGTTAATGTTGCTGAGCTGCTGGAACACGCCGTGCACAATGCGCTGGCGTTCCGCGCGCCTCGCTTTGCCAGCCAGCCGCGCCGGCTGCGTGGCAGCAGAAGCTGCCGTCGACTGCGCGTGCAGCTTGCTCGACGCGCCGCTGACGCTCGCCGCAGTAGCGCTCGCAGCGAGGTTGCTGCTCGCCAAAATAGAGTCGAGCAGCGAAGCGGTTTGTGTGCCAGAGTTGTTTGCCGCGTCGCTCGCACTGCGCTTTGGCAGCGCGCTTGAAGCCAGCGGCGGCGCTTCAGCAGCGAGCTGCAGCTCGCTCGATGTGCAGCTCTCCGCCGAGAAGTCCGACGACGACTGCGGGCGCGCGCGCGCGCGCGCATACTGCGAAGCCTTTCGCGACACAGGCGTCCTGACCTCGGACTCGGCGACCGCGCTTTGCAGCAGCTCCGTGCGAAAGCCCGAGCGTCCGCAGACAGCGGTGTCGCTCGCAGAGGCGTGCAGCGCCGAAACTTTCGCAGCGCTCCGCACAGCGCTCTGCGCGCCCTCGCGCGGCGCGCCTAGCAACAACGCGTCCATGGCGCTGCTGTCTTCGTTGCCGTAGACGTCCTTCATGGACGTGAAGTAGCGCATTTCCATTGCGCTACCTGAGTTGTACGACGTCAGCATGCAGCGGGAGCGCACGCTCGCGTCCGCGCTGTTGGCCAGTCCGAGCGCGACGGGTGCGTCTAAACTGAGCGCCTCGCCCGACTGCGAGCTCGAAGAGCTGGACAGCGGCTCGCTCAGCTGCGGCGCGCGAGCGGACGGCGAATACTGCGACTTCGAAGCGATAGACAGCAGCTCCTCGAAGCGCGCGCCTGCGGGCGGCACTGGCTTGTAGAGCGTGAAGCGAAGGCTTGCTTTCCCAACCTTTTTGGCCGCAGCCTTCGCGCTGAGCTCACGCAGCGAGACGCCGCCCGTCGCGCGCAACGCGTCGACGTCCGAACAAGGGTTACCTTTCGGCCCGGCCGCGCGCACGAAACCGCGCGGCGGCTTTGCGGCGGGCGTCTCTTCGGCAAACAGCTTTAGCTCAAGCGGCAAATTGGTCAACGTGCCCGAACGGCCGCTCGCGAGCGAACGCACGAGGTCGCTGCCCGCGCCGAACGCGTGCAGCCGGCGCGCGTCACAGAGCGCCGGCGCGTCGCGCAGCTGCGGCAGACTGAACGCGTTCGCGCGCGGCGTGACGTTGTACCGCTGAAAGGTCTGCGCGAGTTCATAAATGGGATTCTTCAACACGCTGTGTAGCAAGACCTGGTCGGACAACTGCAGCTCCGCGGCTCGCTGCGCGTTTTTGGTCTTGTGCTTCTTCACGAGGTACAGAAATTCGCCGGGCTTCGAGGCGTCGACGAAGTCCAGTCGCACGCGGCGCCACACGTTGACCAGCTTCAAGCACGAGTCGCCGGCGGAGCTGAAGGACTGGCGCAGGGGCGACGGCTCCTCGCTCGCAAACGGCCCAACGTCTTCCCGTGAGAGCCAGCTCGCGGAAAACTGCGGCGAATAGACGTTGTTTGTGGGCGCGGCTGCCGCGCCGCGCTCTCGCGCTCGCTGCGCTCCGAGACTGTCTTGCGACGACATCACGAGCGCGCGTACTGCGCAAAACTCGAAGACTGCATTGAGCCTATCGCATGCATCTGAATTATTAGTTGCAGGCGGGCAAATACCGCGCCACGAAAAATTCACTCCTTTGAAACGCCGAAGGAAAAAAACGGCTTTTTGCCCGAGAGCCGCATGCGCGACTGAAAGCGCCGCAGCTTTTTGTCCGAAGCCTCGCCTGGGCCCGTGATCGCCTTCTCCGGCGCGGTCACTAACTGCGACTCTTTGCACTGCAAGCACAGCGCGTCCCACTCGACGTGCACAGCGCTCTGCTTGTAGAAAGGCTTCTCCGCGGCACTCGCGAGGTGCGCGAGCGAGCCGGGAGGCTCCTCGCCGAAATAGCGCTGCAGCAGCAACAACATTTCGCGCTGCGGCGGCGTGAAGTTCTCGACGTCGAGAATGTTTTGGGCTGCGTGCGAGCGCGAGCAACTTACTAGTCTTGGCGCACTCTCCGCGCAGCGCAGGGTTCTTCGTGACCAGCAAATCCGCCAAGTTTGCGTCGATCATGTGCGCAACTACGTTCAATCGGTGGTACTTCAGCCCAAAGTCGAGCGGACAACTCAGCGAGTTCTGCGTTTTGCTGTCGATTAACATTACGGATAGCTGCTTGGAGCAAATTGAAAAAAAATCTAGGATTATGTGGCAACACGTATCGTTCCGGCACCGAATAGCAGTCATGATGGGCGTCTCTCCCTCCAAGTTTCGCGAGCTAAACGGGTCCGCGCCACAGCACAGCAAGTAGGCTATGATCTCGCCGTGGTTCTCCGCGCACGCGAGGTGCAGCGGCGTGTCGCCGGCCGCGTTTGTCACGAGCACGTTGAATCCGTACTGAAGCAGCAACTTCACGCAGTTCAAGTTCCCGTTTTCCGCGGCGTAGTGCAGCGCAGTGTTTTTGGTCGACGGCTCGCTGCACTGCAAAAACTGGTAAAACACGTTCTCTTCGACGGCGCCGCCGCCGGCGCGCGGCATCTTCGACGCGCCCGAGCGCGAGTTGCGGCTCATCGCGCTGTCCGCGTCGAGATCCGTGTTAAAAGCCAGCTTCGCAGCTTCCTTGCTCCGGAGCTCCTGGTCGCCGCTCTTGCTGTTGTGCACGACGTCCGACGAGTAGGCGTTGCTCGGCGCGTTGCAGTGCGGCTTCGAGTCGCCGTGCCAGAGCTTTTGCTGCTTTAGTTCGTGCTTGCCGCAGTCCGGGAACCGCCGAATGCGTAACTCGAGCCCCGGGAAGAGCAAGTTCGTGAAGGTGTTCAACAGAAAGAACAGCAAGTTGGCCTTGCTCGCGCGCGAGACGTGAATGTGCGGGTAACTCCAGGTCGGGTGGCTTTTGAGCAGCAGAGTCGGAAACAAGTCAACCAGCAGCTTCACGGACTTCAAGTCGTCGTTCGCTATCGCCGCAGTCAAGACCTCGAGCGCGAGTTTCGAACTTTTGAACTCGTTCGAATGCAGAAACAAGTACAGCAACCGCGGCTGGTGCTTGTAAGCGAGCATCATGGCGCTGTTCTTGAACGAACCGTGAAACTCGTTGGGGTTTGCGCCCCACTCAAACAGCAGGTGCGCGACGCGCTCCGGGCCGCGCTCGCACGCCACGAACAACGGCGACATGAACTGCTTGATCGCGGGAACGCGAAACCGCAGCTGCGCGCCGTGGTCGAGCAGCAGGTGCATTAAGTCGAACTGCTGCTTCACAATCGCCTCGTTCAGCGGCAGCGGTTCGGCCAGCGTGCGCAACTCAGAAGAGCAGCCGTAGCTGAACAAACAATTCACCACGTCCGGCTTCCCGGAACAAACCGCGCTGTACAGCACGGACTTGCCCAAGAAGTCTTTCTCGTTCACGAACGCGTGGTTGTCGAGCAGCGTGCGAATCAGCGACAAATTGCCCGCGCTGATCGCAACCTGCAGCAAGTTGGACCAGATCTGCACGCTCTCCGTCTCAGCAAAGCGGTGACGAATCGGAATGTTTGAAATATAGAGCGGCCAGCGCGGCGAGACGTGCTGCAGAAACAGCGCAACGCGTTCGTCCGCAGGGTCTGCAGACCGCAGCGTCGGCGGCGAGCGCGCCAGCCGCTCAAAGGCGACAAAGTCTAACGTTTCCACAATCTGGTCGAGCTCAGCGAGAAGCTCGGCAAATCCAAGTTGCTCCAACAAATGACGCGAAGCAACCGTGCCGACGAAGTCTATTTGCACGAGCGAGTGCTCGCCGTTCGTCGCGCTGGCACTGCAAGCGTTCGCGGTTTCCGCGCTCGCAGCGTCAGCGCGCGCGCATTCGGAGCAGTTGGGTTCAGCGCTCGTGGCTTCCGCGCTCGCGGCTTCTGCACACGAGTCAGTACTGTTGCAAAGCCGGTCGTGGCTCTGGGCTTCAGTCTCGCAACTCGGCTGGCCATTGAGTTTGCAGTTAAGCTTGTTGTTTAGCGCGAGGACGCTGTCTAGCGTGATGGTGGAAAAGTTGAAGTTGATGTGCTTCAGCGCTGGCCACATGTTCGGCGAGAAGTCGGCCACGAACGGACCTCCGGTGAAGCGGTCGTTGCGCACGCCACTGAAGGAGAGTCGCTTGAGAAACGGCAGCAGAGTGTTCAACAAAGTCATGACCGTCAAGTCGGTCAACTCGTTCAAGTTTGAAAAGTCAAGCGCGAGCAGCTTGATCAGCGATTTCGCCGGATTCGCCGAAGCGTCGAATTTGGTGCCGGCGCAGACGCACTGGGCGACATTCGAGTCTTTGAGCGCTGTGCAGCCAGAAAAGTCTAAAATAATGCCTTCTTCGCACGCGGCGTCGCTCAGCAGCGCGACTAACGAGCTAAAACACTTCACGATGACGCCTGCGTCGTAGCCGCGGAAGCCGTGGAAACACAGCCTGCGCTCCGGCGCGCTGGAGAGCGTCTTTTCAGGCCACAAGTTCCAACGGTACCCGCGGAAAGACCGTGCGAGCAGCGACACCTGCAAAATCGTGAAGGCGTCGAGGTAGCCGTCGATTAGCGTGGGAATCTTGCGCCAGCGCGCCAGCAACGCGCTGCCTTCAGTATTGTAGTTCATGGTAGGTCGGGTGCAACCCAGTGTGTTTCGTGCAGTTCAATCTCTGACATAGGCCATTCTAGCTAGCGAAAGTTGGCGCCAAGCTGCTGCGGTAAAACGCGAAACAATTGAAAATTCAATTTTTCGGCGCCAGCCACAAGCGAATATATTAAGCGAAAATTGCACAGCACTTTGCTGCGTTTCGACACAATATTCGCGATATAACTAAATTAATTTATAATTTGCTGATGGATCGTTGCTGGATTGACCGCGGAATCGACATCAAATGCGCGAACATCTTCGCAGATCAAGGAGCTGCGAACGAAAAGCGCAAGACTAAGATCGTTTGCACGCTCGGACCCGCGTGTTGGAGCGTGGAGAATTTGTTGAAGCTGATAGACGCGGGCATGGACGTAGCGCGATTCAATTTCTCACATGGCGATCACGCCTCGCACCAGGCGTGCTTGGACCGGCTGCACGAAGCGATGAAGCAGCGTCCGCACAAGCGCGTCTGCTTGATGCTGGACACGAAGGGTCCCGAGATTCGCACGGGCGACTACGAAGACGGAATTTCGAGCTGCGAGTTCAAAAAGGGCGAGAAGCTGCGCATCGTGACCGACTACGGGTTCAAAGGAAACTCGGCGTGCATTGCGACGACGTACAAGAAGCTTCCGACGACAGTGAAAAAAGGCGCCGTGATTTTGATCGCAGACGGGTCGCTTTCGGTAGAAGTGACGGCGTGCGGACCGGACTACGTCGACACGCTGATTTTGAACAACGCGAAGTTCGGTTCGCGTAAAAACATGAACTTGCCGGGCGCGAAAGTGGAGCTGCCGGTGTGCGGCGAGCGCGAGATCAATGACATTACGAAGTTCGGGCTGCCAAACTTGATGACCTCCATTGCCGTGTCTTTCGTTCAGTCGCCGCAAGACGTGCTCGACTTCCGCAAGCAGCTGGGCGAGAAAGGCAAACACATCATGATCATTCCGAAGATCGAGAACGCGGAGGGCGTGAGAAACCTCGAGAAGATCGTGGAGGTTTCGGACGGTATCATGGTGGCGCGCGGAGACCTCGGCATGGAGATTCCGCTGTCAAAGGTGTTTTTGGCGCAGAAGCACATGATCGACCTGTGCAACAAAGCCGGCAAGCCGGTGATCGTCGCGACGCAGATGCTCGAGTCCATGATTTCGAACCCGCGGCCTACGCGCGCGGAGGTCGGCGACGTGGCGAACGCAGTGCTCGACGGCGCGGACGCGGTGATGCTTTCGGGCGAAAGCGCGAACGGGCTCTTTTTCGACCGCGCGGTGCAGTACCTGGAACAGACGTCGTACGAGGCAGAGTGTTGCTTCAACTACGCGGTGTATTACAACACGATCGCGCTGCAGCTGCCGCCGACGAACCCGTTGGAGAACTTGGTTTACAACGCGGTGCGCGTGGCGTACGGCGCGCAGTGCGAAGCCATGATCACGGTCACGAACTGCGGCACGACGGCGCAGTTGATGGCGAAATTCCGCTCGAGCCAGCGCGTGATTGTGGGCACGACATGCGAGTTTTTGTCGCACAAGCTCGCGCTGTACCGCGGTTGTTTCGCGGTGGTGCTGCCAGAACTCAAGAACTGCAACGAAGCGAACGTGTCGGCGGTGATTGACCTGGCGCGCAACGCGAAGCTGTTGAAGAAGGGTTGTCGCGTGCTGGCGCTGCACAACGCGGACCCGAAGGAGTCGAAGACGGCAAACAAGATTGTGTTGATGGACATTTAAGCTCTATATTTTGCGTTTGCATTCGTTCCAGTTGTTGCGAGCGGCTTTGGGTTCGGGCTTGAGATTATGCCGGTCGTGGATGAACTTGCAGGTGCTTCCGTAGCCGCAGTACCCAGTCTCGTTGAAGTCTTTGCACAGTTCGGGGTTGGTGTCGACGACGACTTTGCTGGCTTTGTAGAACGCCGCGGCGCTCTGTTCAGCAGCAGGCGCAGGCGCAGGCGCAGGCGCAGCGGGCGCGGGCGCGGGCGGCGGCGGCGCGAGCGGCTCCAGCTCGGCGGGCCCGGCGCGCGGCGCGGCGGGGGGCCGCAGCAGCGAGGCGCCGGCGACGGCGCTTTCGGGGCGGCGCTTAGGTTTGAGCATGCGGAAATTACAAAAGGCTAAATTTTTTCCTTCATGATGCGGTTCACGACGCTGAGGTGGGTGTGCACTTTGCTAGGCTCCGCGCCGAGGATCAGCGAACAGATGGAGTCGCGCGCGAGCGCGATGTTCTCGTGCGAGCCGAGCAAGTGAATCGTCTTGTCTGCGATGAGCAGCCGCGTCTTGGTGGAGTGTTGGATCGAGTTTTTGGTGCGGCCCTTGGTCCCGACGATGCGCGCGATGGCGCGCTTGAGGTGATCGCGCTTGAGGTTCTTGACGTCAGTGACTTTAAAGGACTGCAGGTAGATGTCGCGCAACCGCAGAATCGCGACGCAGTCCTGCACGGCGAAGCCGGCGAGGAAGGCGTTCAGGTACTCGACGGCTTTAGCGCAGTGCGCCTCGCCCTCGGCGAGCGCGGTCTCGCGCGCAAAGGCGGCGTCGTCGGCCGACGCGGCGAGCAGCGCCGCTGGCAGCAGCAGAATTTGCAGCGATTTGGGGTCAAACTTGACGGCGAGCTTGAGGTGCGCCGTGAGCGGCTCAATGAGCGCCTTCCAATGCTTTTTGAGGGCGCCGACGCGGTGCGTCGGGACGCGAACGCGCCGCGCCTGCGCGTCTCGCAGCGCTGCGGCGGTTGCGCCGGAGTTAGTAAGCCGAAACGCAGAAGACGAGACCATGCATTTTAGAGACGAATTTCTAATTATTAATTTCAGGACTGATGAATCAAGACCATCACGTTGACTGCGGCATTCCGGTGCCGCCTCCGGCGACGGCGCGATTCGACGAAGTCCCCGCAACGGGCACTTGGAAGGACTTTTTGCTCAACAGCACTCGCGTGTTTAAGTACGAGCTCATCGTCGCAGCGCTGCTCGCGGTGTTCAGCGTGAGCATGCAACGCGCTACGCCAAACCTGCACGCGCCTCTCTCGGACGAGCAGTGGGCAGTACACATGCACCCGATGTCGCCCGTGTCGACAATCCCCTTCTGGTCAGTACTTGTGTTCGGGAGCGGCGCGACGGTCGTCTGTCTCATGATTTCGCACTACCTGAACGCGAAGTACTCCGAGTTCGCGTTTCGACAGACAGTGGTGACCTACGGCGTGTTCATGCTGCTTTCTGTGCTCAGCACGCTAGCGATCACCGACACGTTCAAAACGCTCAGCGGCCGGCTGCGGCCGGACTACGTTGCGCGCTGCTTCGAAAAAATCTTCGACCCGACCGTCTGGCCGCCGGTGCCCTTCAACGTGGTGCGCGGCTATTACGTGACCTGCCCGCACGCGCGCAGCGCAGAGGTCGTGCTTGACGGCCGCCGCAGCATGCCCTCTGGGCACACGTCGATGGCGGCCACAACGGCCGCCTCGAGTGCGATGTTCTTGTTCACCGTTTGGCGCAAATCGATCCGTAACCGCAAGATGCGCCTGGTGCGTCTGCTGCCCGAAGAGTCGGAGCGGCTGACGCTCACGTCGCGCGGCAAGATGCACAAGAAAAACTTCATCACCACGATGAACGGCGTAGTGATCGCACTCTGTCTCATCATGGCGCTGGTGGTGCCGGTGTTTATCGGCATTTCGCGCATCACAGACCGCCGACACTTCCCCACCGACGTCCTCGCAGGGCTGTTCCTCGGCTACTTGGTTTCGTTTTGCTACGGGCACTACTTCTGCTATGAAATCAAGGAGTTCTTCTAGCTCACTCCGAAGGTGAGTCAGCTACTTGCAGCCACTCGATGAACTGCGCGGCGCCTTGCGCGCCACGGCTGCGCCCGAGCCGCGTGCGGTCTTCCGCGGCCTTCTTGTTCGAAACGCTTTTCTGCGCGCTATAGCGGCGTAAAAACTCGTCTTCGTCGACGAGGTCCTCCGTGTACAGCCAGTGGCACACAAATTTGTAGTTCTCAAATACTTCCTGATGCAAGTCTAGCCCGAGCGCTTCCCACACTTTCAAGATTGACCTCTGGTCGAGGTCGGCGAGCGCCGCTTTCACGCGGTCGCCGCACTTTGCGAGTTCATCGCCTGTCACTTCTTCGCCCGAAAACAACAGAGCCAAGCTCAGGTATGCAAACTCAAAATGAGAAATTTTGCCCGTCGCGAGGTCGTCGCGCAGGCTCGCGCTCAGGGTTTCCGATGTTTTGCCTGTTTCTTCGATGCGCGCCTCCAGCTGCGCGAGCAACGCGTGCAGTCCTTTGCTAGACTCCGCCTGCTTCTCGAGCCGTTCGCGCCGGCTCCGTTCCCGCGCTTCGCGTTTTTCCTCCTTCGGACAAACCACGCGTTGGTTGCACTGGTTCAGGTTGATGCACTGCTCCTCATCCGCGTCGACCGCTTTCGCGCTCCGCCGGCTTTTGCTCGTCTCCGCGGGCTCGCCTTTGCGCACCGTGCTGTTGGCGGTCTGCGGCGGGTTCTTGCAAATGTACACCGCGACTTTGTGCGCGTTGTCCATCACGCCATCGAAGCCGCACGCGTTGCATACGCCGCAGACGCGGCGCTCGCGCACCAGCAAGTCGACTTCCGGCAGTCGACAGTGCGGGCAGAGCACGAACTTTTCGACGAACTTGTCGAGCACCGCGAGCACTTCGCGGTCCGTGTGCACGCCGTTCACGAACGCGAAGCCCTGTCCCGCCTTGTACTGGCTCGAGGCGCCGAGCTCGCAGCCGCAAAAGCGTGTGCAGTACTCGGGACTGCGCTTCAGCGCGCGCGCGATGTCGCCCATGTTCATGATGTTCGTGCGGATGCCGTTGCCGCGACCGACGGTCTTCACGATGACCATCGGCATCTTGTAGCGATAGTTCGGGTCATCGCAGTAGCTGGGGATGTTTACAGTCGCCATGGTTGTGTCTTATTCATCCAGTAGGTTTCGCCGAAGAAACGCAGTCTAGTTCTGACGTGACTGCGAATGCGAATAATGCGTGCGAAAGGAGCTGGCGGGCCAGGCACTTCGAGTAGATGAATCGGGAAATAGATAAATATTAAATTGGTGCGCAAAACAAACCAAGGAACGACCGCGCTACAGCAGCCGCTCGAGCGCCTCGCGGTTGCGCTGCATCTCTTTCAGCGCCGCCAAGATCGACTGCAGGTTCGCCTTCGACGCCTTCAACGCCTCCACGCGCTCCTTCAGCCCGCGCACGTCGTTTTGCGCGGCGCCCGCCGCGCCCGCGGCGGCAGGCGCGTCGCCGCTCTCGCGGCTCGCGAACTCCTTGACGAGTCGCAGTTTGTCCTTGATGAAGGTGATCTCCGCGTTGTTGTGCAGCCGGTTCAGGCCGCGGATGCGCAGGTTCTGTTTGCGCTTCAGCGCGAAGCTGTCCAGCACGTTGATGTAGCCGTTGATGGAAAAGGGCTTTGCGAGGTCCAGCGCATAGCACTTCGCCGCGCGGTGGTCGACACGTTGCAAACGCCGGACCGTCGCGATGAACGCTTCCACCTGCGTCTTGGTGGCTGCGCTGCGCGCGCGGTCGTACGAAAAATTATTCATGAAAAATAGCGCCGTATTTCCGGATCGCGGCAAGGCCGTGTCGCGCCGCATCGTAGCACATTATTCGAACAGTGTGCATGCACGGTGCAAAACGCTGGCTGCACTTAATTGAGTCTGCGTGTTTTTTTAATTTTGGAAACCGGACAATGTCGACGGAAGAGTCTTCGAACTTCATGGTGGTGGACAACGGGAGCGGCCAGGTCAAGGCCGGGTTCGCCGGGGACGACGCGCCGCGCGCGCTGTTCCCCTCCGTAATTGGCATCCCGAAGCAACACAGCGTTATGCTCGGCGCGGAAAGCAAGAGTAAGTACGTGGGCGACGAGGCGATCGCAAAGAAGGGCGTGCTGAAGTTGACCTACCCGGTGGAGCACGGCATGGTGACCGACTGGGAGCACATGAAGCTGTTGTGGAACCACACGTTCCACGACCAGCTGCGCGTGGACGACCTCACCGCGTATAGCATCATGCTCACGGAGCCTTCGCAGAACCCCAAGCAAAACCGCGAGAAAATGGTTCAAACGATGTTTGACGACTACGGCTTTCAGTCGTGCTTCATTGCAGTGCAGGCGGTTTTGTCTTTGTACGCGTCCGGCCGAACCACAGGGTTGGTGCTGGACAGCGGCGACGGCGTGTCGCACATCGTGCCGATCTACGACGGCTTCTCGATGCCTGCGTCCGTCATCCGGCTGGACCTCGCCGGGCGCGAAGTCACCGAGCGCTTCCAGAAGCTGCTCTGCGAGAGCGGGATCAACTTGCGCACGTCCGCCGAACTCGAGATCTGCCGCGACATCAAGGAAAAAACGTCATACATCGCGGACGACTACGAGGCCGAGCTCGAGCGCTGCAAGAACGTGGACTATCTCTACCAGATCGTCAAGAAGCATAAGCTGCCGGACGGAAACGTGATCGACGTCGGCACCGAGCGCTTCTGCGCGCCGGAGTGTCTCTTCCAGCCGAACATGAGCAACATGGAGTTCCCGGGCATTCACACGCAGATCTACAACTCGATTGTCGCCAGCGACATCGACACGCGTACGCAGCTCTACAAGAACATCGTGCTTTCGGGTGGCACCACGCTCATCGAAAACCTCGGCAATCGGCTTGAAGCGGAGCTGCGCCAGAGTGCGCCCACGACCGTCAAAATCAAGATCATCGCGCCGCCGGAGCGCAAGTACTCGGTCTGGATCGGCGGCAGCATCCTCGCTTCGCTCTCGACCTTCTCGAACACCTGCGTGAGCCGCACGGAGTACGAGGACGAAGGGATCAACATCATCCACAAGAAGTTCATTAGTTAGAGAGCGGAGCGCTGCCGCCGCCCGCGAATTTTTGCGTATAAAATTGCGCTGACTGAGAGCGTCAACATGCAGCTGAAATATGCGCGCCTGCACCGCGCACGCGTCTACCAACCTGCGGAAGACACGTTCCTGCTGCTCGACGCCTTGTCGCAGTACGCCGCGAGCGGACAGTTGCGCGGAGTGCTCACCGCGCTCGAGTTCGGTTCCGGCTCCGGCGCGCTGGCCGCAGCGGTTGCACAGTTGCGTCCTGAAGCGCACGTGCTAGCGGTAGACCTGAACCCGTGTGCGGCGCAGTGCACAGCCGCCTCGTTGCGGCTCGTGCGCGCTAGCGGCTGCGCGCTGCTCGCGGACGGGATGCGCGCGCTGCGCCCGCGCAGCGTGGACTTCGCCTTCTGCAACCCGGTAAGTGCGTGCGCGCGTTCCGCAGCCCTACGTTCCGAGCGAGCCGCTCGCGTCCGTAAGCACCGAAGACCGCTGCTGGGCCGGCGGCCGCGACGGGGCCGAGGTTGCCGACAGATTTCTCGCGGAGGCGCGGCGCGTGCTGCGCGCGCCCGACTCGCGCGTACTGCTGCTTCTCGAAGCGCGGAACCGCCCGCGCGAATTTCTCGCTGCGCGAAAAAATTATTGGAACTATAACCTGCTTGCCGCTCGGAAGATTCAGGGCGAAACGCTGAGCATCTACGAACTTGCGCCGCTGACCGTCGTCGCGCCGCACCCCGCACTTGCCACAGCCGCCGCCGCTTCAGAACCGCCCGAGCCGCGCACATGAACGAAGACTCCGCGCTGGCCAGCCTGGTCGCCGTCCTGCTGCGCAACGATCTGCAGAGCTTGCCAACCACGGATCAAGCGGTGCAGCTGCACTTGCGCTTGCGCGCGCAGCCAATCGCCGAATTCGGCGAGTCTGCATTTCAGCGGCGCGAGCGCCTAAAGCGCTGCTGGAAACTGCCCGTCGCCGCGGCGCTCCCAGCGCCGCGCGCCACGTCGCTGGGGCGCTTTTTCACAGAGTTGCCTGAGCCCGTCGCGCAGTTCCGCGAGCGCTACACGCGCGCCGCGCCGCCGCGATCGGAGACTGAGTCGCAGCGCGCAGAGGCTGCGAAGCTGCGCAGCTGGCTCTCGGGCGCGCCGCGCCCGCGGCAGCAGGCGCAATTGGTCGACGTGATCAAGCTTTCAGAGCGCAAGGTCCGCGCGTTCGCGCTGTGCGGCGACGGACTGCTGGCCTGCGACACCGCGCGCAGCGTGCGCTGGCGGCCGCCGGGCGGCGCTGTCGTCGAGCTCTGTCGCAGTGCAGCGCTCGCTAACCACGTCGCCGTGGCTGCGCTGAACGCGGGCCTGCACCGCGCGCACGCGGCGCTCTTTAACGGCGAGATTCTGTCCATTGCGTTGCCAGAAAGTCCCGCCGGGGTCGTCGCGCACGCCGTGTTTCGCGGGCACGCCGCGCGCGTGAACATGACTGACTTGCACTGCTCGCAGCTCGCGCTCGTTTCTTGCTCCCACGACTGCTCACTGCGCTTCTGGGACTACGAAACGCAGACGCAGCTTTTGTTGCAGGAGGGCCACGGCAGCGCTGTGCACTGCTGCCGCTTCAACCCGCTCGAGCCGAATCTGCTTGCGTCCAGCGACCTCGACGGCTACGTGAAGCTTTGGGACGTGCGCGCAAACCTGAACGTGCTGAATCTCGATGCACACGAACAGATGGCCCTTGCCCTTGCCTGGCACCCGCAGGTGCCCTGGCTGCTCTGCTCCGCGGGCGCGGCCGGCGTCGCGCGGCTCTGGGACTTGCGCGCCTTCGCCGGGACCGTGCCGAGGCGCTACGGTGAAGGTCGCGCGGAGCCGCGCACAGCAGCCGTGCGCGAGCTGTACAACCACTCAGGCGTGCTGCGGAACGTCGCGTTCGAACCGGGCGCAGGGCGCTACCTCGCGAGCTTCGGATGTGACGGCAAGCTGTGCCTCACGAACATGCAAAACGAGGAAGTTACGCAACTGACGCAGACCGAGCCAGACCTTCCGAACGCTTTCGCTCTAGCCGTCGACGGCCATATTTTCTGCAGTTTTCAATTAGGATTAATTAATAGATTACTCGTCACTCATTAGCAATGGATTCCGAGCAGCCAGACTTCGTTAACAAACATTTCAAGTTTTCGCACTTCCCGATCGTCGGGAAATCTGTGTTTTGGGAATCGAAGCACTGCATAGCGTTCACGAACTTGTCCTGCGTGTTTCCGGGGCACGTTCTGATTATTCCGAAGCACTGCTACGAGAAGTTCGTGTTGTTGCCGGACGAGGTTCGCGACGATTTGGCCGCGACAACGAAGTTCGTCGCGGCCATGATAAAGAAGTTCTACCAGTCGCGTTCGGTGAGCTTCTGCTTCCAGAACGGCGCTCCTGCGGGCTGCACCGTGTTCCACCAACACGTGCACATTCTCCCAGAGATGAAGTCGCACTACCCGCCGCACATCCAGTGCTTCGACTCACTACCGCGCAAACAACTGAACGGACGCGTCACGCTGCCGAGCAACTCGCGGCCGCGCGAAGAGATGAACGAAGAGGCCGCCGCCTACCGGCAGTTCATTGCCGACAACTTCGTGCCTCGCGAAAGCTACACGCATTTTTTGCGCAGCTACTTGGCTGTAGCGGAAGACGCTGAAGCGCACATGTAGCCGCGTCCGGAAGCACCCGCAGGCGTGGCGCCGCGCGCGCACAAACGCACAGTGCAGCCTGCAATTTTCAATTTAACTAATTGCAGTTTTCCCGCGAATTCCGCAGATCGCTGCGCCGCGCCCAGCGCGACGCACAAAATGGGGACCCCGAGTGCGTTTAATGCCTATTGGCGCGACCGGCTGGTGCTCGCGTGGGGCGGGCCGCAATGCGTCTGCGCGTGCGCGCCGCAAATCGCCGTCCCTGCCTTGCTGGCCGAACTCGTGCCGCTAAGCTGTGCGCTGAAAAGCTGTGGCGCGCTGGTGCGGCACGTTGCTTGCAGCTGCTCGCTTTCCCGCAGCTTTGCGGCGCTGCCCTCGCCGCACGCTCTTGTGGGCGTCGTGAACGTGCTTTCGCCGCGCTCGAGCCGGAAAACCGTTGCCGCGATTCTCGCAGACTGCGCCTCAATGCACACCGGCGCTTTCGTCTCCAGCGCAATCGCACCGAGCGCGTGTTCGGATAATGCAGCTGAGCTCAGCGTTGATACGCCGAGTCGAGCGGGCAACGCGCCGTTCTGTTCAGGCGACCGGTGCGTGTTCGTGACGACTGCCTGGCTCAGCCGTTGCTTCGCCATGCACGCGCTCCAGCCACAGAACAGCTCTGCGTTCTTCCAAACGACGCCGGACGGCGTGCGCGAGTGGTTTGCTCTGCCGAACAACAAACGCGCGGAGCTGCGGCTGCTCTCTCACTCGTTCGTCTTTCCGCCAGAGAAGCGGAAACTTTCTGACGCGCAGGAGGAGTTTATTGTTGCGCTTTTGCGCGACTTCGGCGCGGACGTCTCGCTGAGCAGCCCGCAGCTGCAATTCAGCGAGCGCGGGCCGCCCGCGCTCTACGTCGTCTGCGGCGGCCCGGCCGCCCTGCGGCAAATCGCAGACGGTGCGCGCAGTTCGCGCAACGCCGCGCAGCTTCAAGTAGTGGAGCAATGGCGCAACCACGCGGCGGCCGGAGTGCCATTTGTGGGGCTGGCGTTCGTCAGCGCTCTGCTCTCGCTGCGCAGCTACCGCGACCTGCAGAACTTGCTGTTCGACAAACGGTTTGTCTGCGAGCTGCTCTCGGCGCGCGAGCCTGCGCAGCTTCGTGCGAGCGACTGTGACGCCAACGCAGAGCGAACCGACACTCTGACCGGCGAGCCGGCCACTGATCTAGCCTGCGAGCCGAATACCAAAGCGTCGACGAACAACAAGCTACTTTACAGCGAGCCGCGTACTACCGGACAGCTGTCTGCAGAGCAACTTGCGCGCTCGGCGTTGACGCGCGTTGCTACGCGAACTGCAGACAGCCAGAGCTGCAAGTTCGACGATGGATCCGAGTTGGCAGAGACTGCGGCTTCTTCGAGCTTCAGCGCCTCGACAGAAGGCAGAGGCTTCAAGCCGCACTCTGCAAACGCGAACTTGTCGCTGCTGCGCAAGCGCGGGCCGCAATCGCCCTTCCTCGAGAACGTCGTGCTGCTGCAGTTGAATTTCTTCAGCAGCTACACGCAGACGGACGCGCACCGCTTTCCGGCTCTGGCTCTCGTGCTCGGCATGCTGCTCGCGCGTCTGCAGAGCGCGTTGCACAAGTTCGACTTACAGCCGGCTGCGGTGCAGCGGCTGCTCGCGCGCTGCTGGTGCAGCGGGTCGCAGCCGACTGCAAACGCCGCGCCGCCTCACGCACCCGTCAGCTGCAGCCAACCCTGCGACTTCGCGCCACAGCGTCGCTTCACTCGCTCGCTGAATGCTGCACGCGCGCTGTCCGCGGCTGTGTCGCGCGGACCGCCCGCAGCGGAACGCTGGACGGCGAGCTTCGATCCAGAAGTGCTCGACCAGCTGGTCATTGAGGCGAAAATGCTGCACTTGGCGTTCAAGCGTCTCGCCTACAAACAGCAGCAGCACGCGTCAGTGGCGGGCGCGGGGGCGATAGTCGACAGCCTCTCGTTCCTGGCCCACTTCCGCCGACGCGTGGCAGACAGTTGCGCGGCGGCCGCCGACGGGGCCGCGGCCGAAGAGCTCCTCGCGAACTTTGTCAGCGCGCTGCGCCAGAGCTTCATCGCGCCCAGCCAAGCGGAAGCCGCTGCGGGAGAGCCGCCTTGCCGCTTCGAGCTATTGCTCTGCGGCGCTTCGCAGTCAGTGGAGGTGCAGCTTGCCGCGCAGTCGGTCGACAGCTGCGTCGCGAGTCTGACGGAGGCAGCGCTGTTTTTCTGCGCGCTGAGCTTCGTGGACTGCGAAGTGCCGAGCGTGCGCACAGCCACGCTAAACAAGTACAAGGCACAAGTTAAGCGCTTAACGCTGCTGTTCCGCAGCCGCACGTTGAGGCCAGAGATTCAGTCAGACTCCATCTTCAGCCAGGACGCGCTCCTCGAACTGGACAGCGAGGTGTTGCAAAATGAAAAGTCGGGCGAGTGCGCGAACGTCGTGGACGACCCTATAAATTTCCTTCTTTCATATAAAAGTGTTTAATTTAGCCGCAGTGCGCGGGCGAAACGCTGCAGAAGCGAACGCCACTAGATTGAATGAGCGCTGAGCGCGCTGAGTTCGCCGACTCGCTATTCGCAGAGGATGAAGCGGAGCTGCGCGACTGCGCCAGCGCGCCGCAGACCGAGAACAGCGAACGCGCCGCGGCAGCGACTGCTCGCACCGAGGTTGACCACGCAGCGGAAGGATGCGCTGACGCTGCCAGTTCAGAGCAAGTGCTCGAGCAGACCGCGCGACGCCGAATGCTTTCATCCCGCGGAGGCGTCGCGACGAAGCTGGTGAAGACGCAAGACGTGGCGGCTCCGCAGCCGTTTCCGCGCTTCGTGAAGCGCGAAAGAGCGTACGAACGCATTCTGAGCGCGAGCCTCGCTGGAACCGCTGTGCTGCAGATAGACGCGCAATCGTTCCGCAAAACGACTGCGGAGTTCAGCGAGTGCCTTGCGCAAGGCGCCGCTGGCGCCGGCGCAGAACTCGAGCTGCGACTGCTGCTCAGCGACTATCTGCACGCGCTGCTGCTCTGCAGCCGCGTGCTTTTTCTGAGCACCAGTCTGCAGAGCCAGCCGCGCGTCCGCGTACTGGACAACGCGAAAGCTTTCCAGCGTTTCGCCGTCGTCAGCGACGGTTGCTACTGCGCCACACTGCGCCCGCTCGAAGAGGACGCGTGGGAGAAGCGCGCATTCGTCACGTTCACCGCTTTCCAGGAGAGCGCGCCTCGCTTCCCGCAGCTGTATCTCCCGGCGGGCGAATTTGTTGCAGATCTGGCGGCGAACGAGTGCGCGGTGGCGTTTCTAAGCAGCCAGCGCACTTTCCGCGTGTACAGCCGGCACGGCTTGCTGTTGTTCGACTGCTTCCTGCCTTTCAAGGCTTCGCACGTGCTCGCGTACGCCGCGGGGTTCGTGGTCGTCGGGGCGGACGACGACCCGTGCGACGCCGCGGCGCTGCTCGCCGAGTTTGGCAAGCTCTGCGCGCCAGACGTGCAGAACTTGGACGCCGCGGCGGAGGCCTTGCTGGAGCTGCTGTTCAGCCGACAGAGCGCGCAGCACAGAGGTGGCACGTGCACTGCGCAGCTGTTCGAAGTCGGCGAGCGCGGCGGGCAGCAGAACTTCGTGACCACCGACGAACCGCTGTCGCTGCAACTGCGCCGCGAGTTTCCAGTGTTCGCGAACGTGCACGCGGACGGCACCTTGTTGCTGGGCACGGACGCGAGCAACTTTTACTGTTGCAGCCGTTTCTTCGGCAACCAGCTGCGCCGCAGCCTGCACTGCTCCGCGGAGCGCAGCTGCGCAGGCGCGCGGCTTTGGAGCGTGCTGCGGCCGCTGGACGCGAAGCTGCGCGTGGGCGTGGTGTTGTCGGCGACGCCCACCGCGTTCAGCTACCTGCCGCGCGACCACGACCAGGTGAAAACGCTAGCGTGCGTGCAGAGCGCGGCGCTGCTCGCGCCTCGCTACTCGTGGACGCTGGACGGCGACGCAGTGACGAACAAGACGAACGCGCTGCGCGAGCAGTTCGTGCAGCGACAGCGCACGGAGTTTGCGCCGCTCTACGCCGCGGCCGAGCTCGAGTGCCACCCGAACTTGTACAAAGCGCACGAGAAGGCGTACATCGAGCTCATAATGTCGGTGCTGAACGACTTTTCGCGGACTAAGCTGCTCGAAGAGCTGTGCCAAGAGGCACAGGTTTCGAGCTTGAAGCTGATCTTGAAGCACGTGAACCCGCGCTCGGACCGTTGCGGCGTGATCCAGCGCATCATCAACGAGAAGTTGCTGAGCATGCAAAACGCAGAGTTGGTCAGCATGGACCGCACACGGCGCGTCGAGCCTAAGCCGGAGTCGGTGGAATCCTCGTTCCCCGCCGGGCCAGCTTTGTACCTCGCGCAGTTTTTCGCGCAGTAGCCGCACTGTGATTTTAAATGCACAATTTCGCCCGATTTTCGCCGACTGCCAGAACGGAGCGAAGCGATGAACCGGCAGCTGCGGAAGTTTCAGAAACAAAAACTGCAGCTGACAGCGGATCCGCTGTCGTCCGACGAGGACGCGCCGCGCGTGCCGACGCGCGCCTTCGCGGCGCTGCAGCTGTCTTCGGACGACGCCTCGTCGGAGGAGGGTTGCGAGCCGCCAATCCAACTGGGACCGCCGAGCGCAGTCACGCCCGCGCGTTCTCGCGACAGCGTGCTGCTGTTGCGCAGCGACAATTCGAACGAATCCGGAAGCGAAACCGCAAGCGAAACCGCAAGTGAAACCGCAAGCGAAACCGCAAGCGAAACCGCAAGCGACGCAGCGAGTGAAAGCGCTAGCGGGAACGCGCACGCAGACATGGCTGCGGAGCGCGCGCTGTGCGCCGCATTGGCGGATTTGTTTACCGTGCGGACGCAGGTGGTCGCGAAGGCGAGCAGACTCCCGGGCGCGGGCGCGCGGCTGGACCGCAACGCTGCCGCGCTGGTGCGGCACTGCGCGTGGCTGTGTCCGGAGAGCCCGTTTATGCAGTACACGGTTTGCAAGAGCCACAACACGCGTCTCGTGTTCAAAGGCGTCACCAACTACTTCTCCCTTCGCTGCGCGGCAGACGGCTGCGTGCAGTTGAACTACCAGCCGAACGCGCTGGCGGTGTACCAGGCGTACTGGCTGCGCGCGGGCTTCCTGACCTACGACGAGTTGCTTGCACTGCACGACGTGAACCGCACCTGTCCGGTGATCAACTTGGCGCTGTACAACTACGCCAATCTGTCTTCGCTCAGCACCGAAAACTTCGGTTACGTGCTGCTCGCGGTGTCGGGCTACCAGCAAGGGCTGAGCGCGAGCTTCCCCGGAACGTACTCAGCCGAAAGCGTCGCGCGCGGCCGGTTTCTGCGGCCGAGCTGCGCGCTTTGCGGCGAAGAAGTTCAGCGCATGTTCCACGCGCTGCAGAACTTCGCGGCGGCCAACCAACACGCAGAGCTGGAGGCGCTGTTACGCACAGACCAATACCTGTTGCACGAGTTCTTGAGGGTGCTCTGGTACCGCGCAAACATGCTCGCGCAGCAGTCGCAGCACGCCGCCGCCGTAGAGCTGCTCCGGCTGTTGCTGGCGTTGAACCCATGGCACGACCTGTGCTGCGCGCTGCTCTCGCTGCCGCACCCGCTGCTGATGCTCGGCCGGCTCGACGTGCTGAACCACTTCGACGCGTACTACGTCGAAATGGTTGCGTTTAGCGCAGGCTACACTGCGAACTCGGCGACCGACGCGCAGCTGGCGGCGCTGCGCAACGCGTCGCCGCGCCGCGCGAACCCGCCGCAGCCGCTCGAGGTGTACTGCGCGGCGAGCGACCGCGCGTACTGCGCCCGCTGGTACGACCGCCTGCGCTTCCTGCTGCCGCAATTCCACTTTGCGCCGCTGGTCGGTTTCTTTCAGAAACATGGCACGCGCTCCGTCTTCTTGCGCGAGCTGAGTCAGCTGCGCAACGTGCGACTCGACTACGGCGGCTACTTCGCCCGCTACATGCGCGGCGCCCTCGAGGTGCCGCGCGACTACAACGAGCTGCTGTTCAGCACGGCGCTGGGTCTCTTGCTCTTCCCCGAAGTGCTCGTGTTGCTCTGCGCGCCGGACGGCATGTGCGCACTGCGCGAGCCAGAAAACGTCGCGCTCTTCGCGGAGTTCGCGGCGCTCGAACGCGCAAACGCGGCAGCGCCCGGCGCTGCGGCGCGGCGGCCGCTTGCCGCCGCACTGCTACAGCAAGAAACGAAGGTTTTCTCGCACATCCAGCCGTGGCTGCTGCGCGCAGCTAGCGAAGCGCTCGAGATGCACGAACTGCTGCAGAGCAGCGCGCAAAACTGTATAGATTTGTTACGACGCCTGCCGCGCGAGCGGCACTGCGCCTTGCTCGCCAGCTACGCTGAAATTAGCGCGGCCGATTTCGCGTCGGCGAAACGCGTTTGTCCACTGGAACGTTTATATAAAAACTACTAAAAATCTAATTTAGAAGGTTACACACCTCGATAGCAGTAGGCTAGGCGACGCGGTTTGCAGTAATCGCATGATTCACGCATTCGGATCGCCGGCGCAGCAGAAGCAGCGCTTCGACATGTGCAACTACGAACTGATCGGGCCGTTCCGGATTGCCGGGCTGCTGCGCAACATCTTCAAATTCGAAACGCAGTTTTTCAACTCGATGCTCGACGCTTTCTGCGTGAAATTTGAGCTCGACTCGCGGAAGGAAAACAAACAGATCAAAAAGTGGGCAGAGAGCATCTACTCTATGGTTTACAGTTTACATCTAAGCGACGCGCCGCACACGTTGCGCGCCTTTGTTGCTCGCCGGAAGCGGTCCATGGCCAGGGCGAAGGCGATGGCGATGGCTGATTAGGCGGCCGACGAAATCGCCCGAATTTAAATTATTTTTTTACTGACGTAATTAGTCGTCCTCGGAGTCGGCAGCATGTACAACTCCGGTAAGTTCGCAGCGCGCGCAGCCAGATTTCGCGACTCCCGGCGGCAAGCTGCGCGAACACGATTTGAACTTCGTGCAGCACCTCGCCGCTTCGCACGCGCGGCTAGAGGCCGTGCTCGCGCGGCTGAACTTGACCGTCTCGAACATCTTTTTGTGCGCGGCGCTGCTGAGCATCGGCTCCGCCAGCGTGACGGCGCTGCGCTGCCTGGTCCAGCTGGACGTTTTTCTGACTTGCAGCAGCGCATGCGTCGCCGCGTTCGCGTGCTTGTTGCTCGTGATGGAGATCCCGATGCAGGTCCGCTTCACGAGCATTTTGCGCTACTCAGTGATGACGGACTTCCGCTTCTTCACGAAAATCACCTCGCGCGGGCTGGTCTTTCTGTTCATCGCGAGCTTCCTGTTCGTGAGCCTCGCGCAGCTGCGCGTGCGGCGCTCGACCTACGCGCTGCTCTGGCTCGCGAACTTCGGCACGCTGCTCCTCGGCGCGCTGGGCCTGACGCTGGGTCTGCGCAAATCCATCGTGCTGGAGCGCGTGAAGCGGCTGTTGCAGGCGAACTACAAGGGCTCGATCCAGGAAATTTACCGCACCTTCGCGCTCACCGACCCGGGCCACGGCATGCAAATAGACGAGTTCTCGCGGCTGTGCGCGGACTACAGCTCCGGCACGGTGCTGTTCGACTTCAAAGACGTGGTCGCAATTTTCAACACGCTCGACCGGACTCAGTAAGTGCTCACAGGACGCACCGCAGAAAAGGCGCCATCAACGAAATCGAGTTCGCCGAGTGGATCAGCCGGCGCATAACTTACGTTTAAATCCCTACTAAAAATTGTAGTTAAATCGCAATATTCGGCGAGTGCAATTCTCAGCTGAGTCGCGGCCGCTAGTGTCAAATGCAAGGGACTTACCAAGGAATTTACCAAGCTAACAGCCAAGAGAACTCGGGCGAGAACGCGCGGCTCCAGTGCTACGTGGGCGCGATCGCGATCGGCGACGTGATGAAGTCTTCGTTCGGGCCGCGCGGCATGGACAAGATTCTGCAGTCCGCGTCTGACGAGCCGGCGCGCAAGATCCCGGTGATCACCAACGACGGCGCGACGATCCTCGGCAAGATTCTGATCGACAATCCCGCCGCGCAAATTTTGATCGACATGAGCAAGCGGCAAGACCAGCGCTGCGGCGACGGCACGACCGGCGTCGTGATTCTCGCGACCGAGATTCTGCGCCGTGCGCAGCAGCTGGTCGAGCAAAACCTGCACCCACAGACGATCGTGCAGGGGCTGCGCATCGCGGCCGCCGCTGCCTTCAAGCGGCTCGACGAAGCCTGTCTGCGTTTCGGCGAAGACGACCCGCAACACGCGGAAGTGTTGCTGCAGATGGCGATGACCACGCTGAACAGCAAGGTGCTCTCGTCCGACCGCCGCCATTTCGCGCAGCTCGCGGTCGACGCCGTGGCCATGCTGAAGAACAAAAACAGCTTGCAACTGATCAACGTCGTCAAGCTGGCGGGCGCGCGGCTGTGCGAGAGCCAACTCGTCGAGGGAATTTTGATCGACAAGCGCCTCGCGTACGGCGCGCCGAAGACCATAACAGACGCGCGCGTTCTGCTGGCGAACACCGCGCTCGACGCGGACAAGATCAAGATCTACGGCGCGACGGCCTGCGCGAACGACTACGAGCGCATCAACGAGCTGGAGGACGCCGAGAAGCGCAAAATGCTGGCAAAGATCGAGGCCATCGCCGCCTCGGGTTGCAACGTTTTCGTCAACAGACAACTGGTGTACGACTACCCGCAACAGCTGCTGTCGCAGAGAAAGATTGCGTGCCTGCAGCACGCGGACTTCGACGGCATGGAGGCGCTCGCTAGCGCGCTCGGTGCCGAGATCGCGAGCACCTTCAAAGACAGTGCGGCGGTGCAGCTCGGCCGCTGCGGCAAAGTCGAGGAAGTGCTGATCGCCGAGCAACGCTTCACGCGCTTCTCGCAGTGCCAGAAGCCGGAAGCGTGCACGGTTCTTTTGCGCGGCGCGAACGAGCAGGTGCTCGCGGAGGCCGAGCGTTCGCTGCACGACGCGCTCGCGGTCGTCTCGCAGACGCTGCAGGACTTCCGCCTGGTGCACGGCGGCGGCGCGATCGAGGCGTCGATTGCGAGCGCGATCGCAGCCGAGGCGCAAAAGCTGAACAACAAGACGCGCCTCGCGGTCGAAGCCGTCGCCGACGCCTTCCTGGCGATTCCGTTCATCATCATGCAAAACGCAGGGCACGACGCTGCGGACTGCGTCGCGCAACTGAAGCAGGCACACGGCGGCGCCGCGGTCAGCGACGCCGGCGCGGACGTCGACTCCGGCGCTGTCGCTTCTATGCAGGAAAAAGGTGTGTACGAAAGCTATGCCGCGAAGCTGTACCAGCTGCGCGCGGCGCTGGAAGCGGCCGAGCAAATCATCCGCGTGGACGCGGTGATCAAGTGCCCGGCGCGCGCCGCCACAGGCGGCGCGAACTCGTAGGTCGCTGCGCCAGCTGCGCGCTGCGTCCAATTCTTTCGCTTTTAATTATTATTTACTGCAATCTATGATCGCGTTCCGCGCGCGCTAGCCTGATCGGATGGTGTCCCTGGGAGCTTCGCTGAACAACATTGTGAACAAAATCGGGCGCATAACCCGACTGGAAATCAGCAACTGGTCTTCCGGCTTCCACAGCTTCGCCGAGCTAGACAGCACGCCGGCGCTGCGCGTGGTGACGGACCTCAACCGGCTGCTGACTTTCAGCAAGCTAAGCACCCGGATCCGTGTGCTGTCGGCGGCGCTGTTCCTGCTGAACACCAAGTTGCACTTGACGGACGAGCAGAAGCAGAACTTGTTCTTCAACGCGTCGAGGCTCTTCGAAAGCCAGAGCCGGCGCGTGCGGCGGCTGACGAACTTGCTGCTGTGCGAAATGCAGCCGGACAGCGAGTACGCGTTCATGCTGCAGGCGCGCGTCAGCAGCGACTTGTGCGACGCGGACGAGTGGGTGCAGTCCAATGCGCTGCGGATGCTCATGCGCATCTGCAAGTCGGCGACTGACCTCGAGGCCTCGATCCGTTCTGCGCTGGTGGGCCAAAAGCCGTACTACTGCTACAGCACGCTTTGCTGCCTAATTGTAAACTTCGACACCGACGCGCAGCACAAGGCGCTCTGCAAGAAGTTCAGCCATTTGGTAGAAGCGATTGTGGAAGCGAGCTACAGCAACGCGGACGCGGTGACGGCGCTCGCGGTGCTTCTGCTGTTCAAGACGTATTACAACGAACCCAAGAATTTGCAAAAGCTGATTTCTGCGAATCTCGTCGACGCGCCGGTGCCGCACTTCAGACTTCTCTTGGTGATGCGCCGGCTGCTGTTCTTAAACACCGACAGCCAGACGCGAGCGAGCATTTTGAATGTAATCAAGGGTTACTTGCGCAGCAACTCGAGTCTGTTGCAGTGCGAAGCGGCGAAGCTGATGCTCAGCGTTGTCGAAGAATCAGCCGCCAACCGAATTTCAGTGGCAGTGGACGAACTCGACATCTCGCTGCTGGCTACGACGGCGCTCTACTTAATCCAGTCACCTTTCGAGCCGGTGAAGCTCGCGGGGCTGCACATTTTGTCTCGCCTGAGCGTGCTCGTGCCGAGCGAGATTCACTCGTTCCGCTCCGAGCTGCAGTACTTTCTGGCTTCCGACTCGCCGCTGCTCGTTGCACGCACCATTCTGATCCTGCTGCTCACCTCTCCGCCGGAGCAGCAAGCGGAGCTGTACAGCTTGCTCGCTAGCTCGTTCAGCGGCTTCTCCGACTCGACAAAAGAGCTGCTGATCACCGAGCTCTGTCAGCGCGACACTCTCGACGACGAGCTGATCCGCTTTCTGAACAACTACATCAAGGAAGGCGAAAGCAAGCGCAGCAAAGTGTTGGCGGGCATGCAGCTCTGTCGCGTGTGCGACCCGCAGGTTTGCAACAGTCGCGCCTCCATCAACCTCGCGATCGAGTCGCTCTGTGAACTTATTGAGGACTGCATGCAGACCGAGTTGCTGTGCTACATTGTGAACGCCATCTGCCGGCACCTTCCGAATTCGAACAACCCAGAACAGAACGTAATCTGTCTGGTAAACCGTCTGGTTTTCGAGAACGACACGGTGCGCTTTTTCAGTTTGCGCGGCTTGATCCAGTTGGCGCACAACGACCGCTCTCTCGGCAAGCGCTACAACCAAATCGTTGCGTCGTACGTGAAAAACAGCGTGGACGACGAGCTGCGCAGCCTGACGCAATACTTCAACAGCTACTACGCCCACAGCAGCAGCACTCAAAAACAAGCCAATCTGATCGACTCTCTGACCGACGAAGAGCTGACCTTGAGTGCGCAGCCTGAAACGCTTGACTATGATTACAAAAGCATCATGCTGCAGGCCAAAGCACTCGCAGACTCCAACTCGTCTGAAATTTGCGATCTGCAGATCCGCTCCGAAACAGTGCAGCCCGCACTAGGTGCAACTACGACGGACCAGACCGCCGCGGAGTCACAGACCCAAACTAGCGGGCAGATTGAAGCGCTGTTCGCGGAACTTGCGCGGCTGCGGAACGCAGAATACATTTCGCAGCCCATTCAGCTGACGAAAGCGGCGCAAGACGTTGAAGCAAGCGTGACGGTGCACCAGTACTGGCACAGCGCGTCGGCACTCGTGCTGCAGTTCGACTTTACGAACGAAATTGACTACATGGTGCTGCAAGACGCGCATCTCGCATTTGAAACGAGCAAACAGTTTGAGTTTGCCATCGAGGCGGTCACGCCCCACGTGGAGCTCGTGGCGATGAAAAAGAACTCGATCTTCGCGTATCTCAAGAGCACCAACAAAGATGCGCAGGCGCTGCCTACGCCGCCGCAAACGCTGTCGTGCACACTCGTCTACACATGCGTCGAAGAAGGAATTGATGCGTCGTTTAGCACGTCGCTAATGCTGCAACCGCTAGACTTGACGCTGCTCGGCTGGTTCAGGCCGCAGACAGTCAAAAGCGACTTTCCGCAAATTACAGCAAACGAAGTCTGTCTGCGTGTCGTTTGCGGGAACCAGTTCGCGAGCACCACTGCAGTTTTGACGATAGTGCGACAGCTCGCCAGCTTCAGCTTCGTAGAGGACACTGAGTCTTTCGACAAACTGCATTTCTACACGCAGCACAGCACCTCGCGGGAGGAAGTGGTAGGCAACGTGCACGTCGCTGCGGGGCGCGACAAGATTCTGGCGCGCGTACTCGCGTTCTCGCCCGATAATCGTCTAGCGCAGTTCATTGCCGAGCGCCTGCGTCAGGTCATTTCAGCCTAACGGAGCACCGGCGTTTGCTAGCGGCTCCGCGGCGTACAATTGTTTCAGAATTTTCGAAATGCTCAAATACCGCCTGATCACTTCGTCCGTCAGTAACAAAATGTTCACCTCGATCAATGGGCACTGGATTCGCAGCGCGTTCTGCGGCAACACTCCGTATTCGTGCTCGCTTATTAAAATGCCGAGCAGCTAACTAGCACCGCGGCTCACTTACTATGTTCGCTGCCGCGTCCGGCAGCGACAAAAAGCGGTTTGTCAGCTTCTTCAGCAACAGAATTCGGTATTCCGGCACGTGCACCACAGCCGTCTCGCGCTCGAAACGCTTCAGGGGCGGACGCCCTCTTCCGCGCTTTACGACGGGCTGCGGCGCAGGCTCTTCAGTCTTCTGGCCGTCGTTGCAGACCAACTGGCCCTGCTCGTTGGTTTTCACCATTTCGCACAGCAAGCGGTTCACATCACGTTCCATCGCCAGCGCCATGCCGTATATCGCGCTGTCGCTGCCGTTGTACGTTCTGCAGTTTTCCCAAATTAAGTCCAAGTCATTTTTAAACTGGTAGAGAGAGTGCGCGGAGTAGCTCTTGTTCAGCGCGCGAGTCTGGGTGGCACAGGCAAGCACTTACGGTCATAGTCTCAAGATCCAGCGGATTCACGATAATCTTTGGGTAGTCATAGAGCTTCAACTTCTTCCAGTCGACCGGTTTATGGAACGGATACGAAGAAGGGTGCTTTTTGAGAGACTCTAGAGTTTTTTATTCTTAAACGTACCAATAAAATTAGCGTACCAAATTGGGGAGAATTCGCCCTCATTCATCGTTTACCAATTAAAACTCATCGAAACGCTTCGGAGGAACAGGCATAATTATCTTTTAATCAAATAATCCGTGCTATCTGCTACATTAAATATATTTCGAAATTCGACCGGTTGCCGCCGCCTTCACTCCGCTGCTGTCCAGTTGCTGTTTGCGTTCTGCGGCTAGTTCAGCGTCTATCGATACACCGCACTTGGGCTTACAGGGTCAAAACTTTAATCTACATATTATTTTGCTGCTGCAGATAAGCGATCAGCCACTGAGCAGCGCGTCGCAGTGGCTGCAACAGCGAAGCGTGGTTTGCGCGCCACAGGAACAGAGCGCAATGAGTTTTCCACTATTAGCGCGCCAAATATTGCGCCACTAAATCGCACACTGCGCCACTTACATTTGCGAGATCTGTTCTTGTACAAAATGCGGGAACCGCAACTGCCGCACTTGATGGACGCGTTGGTTTGCAAACTAATGTTGGTGCCGCACGACGCACAGACGTAGTTTACGACGCTTGCAATTTTGTCCTCCATTGCTCAAAGCAACTTATTCAAAAAATCCATTATATTGGACCAAAATTTCACTGTGAGGGCCACTCGCGATTCCAGCACCATCATGGTTGCTTCATGAGCAAAGCCGTCTCCGCATCAAGCGCTGCAGGAGAGCTCTGCAAAGGGAAGAAAGGGACTGCTCAGGGCAATAATCCGAAAGCCTTTGGGTTCAGCGGCGGGCATGTCTCCAACTTACGCAGATCGCAGCTCCAAGCCGAGCGCGAGCAAAAGCGCGTTTCTGCAAACACTCGCGTAGAGCAATTTGAAACCGAGAATGCGGCGCCGTACATCGTCGCGGTACACGGACCTTCGCGCTCGGGCAAGAGCACGTTGATTAAGTCGCTCGTGCGCTATTACTCAAAGCGCTCTCTGTCGAAGATCGGCGGGCCGATCACACTTATCGCTTCAAGAAAGCGCCGCCTCACGTTTATCGAGTGCGGCTGCGACACGGCTTCCATGTTAGACGCCGGCAAAATCGCAGATTTGGCGATCTGCATCATAGACATTAGAAAAGGTATTGAGAAAGACACTTTCGAGTTTATAAACGTTCTCAAAACTCACGGAATGCCGCGCGTTATTGGAGTGCTGACTTTCATCGACGAGTTTGCCGACAACAAGCGATTGAAGAAAACCAAGAAACAGATTCGGCGGCGATTTTGGGGTGACCTGTACGAAGGCGCTTTGCTGTTCATGATGAACGGCATAAAATCACGACTCTACCTAAGGAGACAGGTGATTACCTTGCATCGCTTTATTAGCAACAAAGAGTTCCACCCTACTGAGTGGCGCTCGCGACACCCGTACTTGCTAGCGCTCACATCAACTCTCAACCATAAGTCCGAAACCGAGGCTTCGGTCACGTTCACAGGCTATCTGCGCGGCTACCACTTGCTGCAAAACCAGATCTTTTGCATCCCGGGCTGCGGCGTCTTTCCCTGTTCAGCGGTCGCGTCCAAGCATGATCCATGCGAGCTGGACGCAACGGCCGCGAAAAGCAAGAGCAACGCCATTAGCAAACTGGGCGTTGCAGCATGCAAGATTTTCGCGCCCGGATCTGGTTTGAGCGGAATCGAATTACTCGAGGAGGGAATTTATCTAAACCGCGAAGCTGCGCAGCAGAATCCGGCTGCCAAGACGGCGCCCGCATACAGCGACAGCAGCGAGGACGATAGCGACAAAGGCGCTGTTACCAGAGCTAATGGTACCAGCGCAGCGCCGCATACACTGAGTGGCTGGAGCTCGTCAGGGTCTAGTGACGAAGATGAAGAGCTAGGCAGTGAAGCTTCGGAGCTGGATGTGGATGACGCGGGAGCGGGAGTTGAGCTGCCGAGGGCTGGCAACGTTGTTCTCGAGAGACAGCAGCTGGAGGACGCTTGGTCCAACTCAGAATCTGACTCCAGCGCGTACGCGGACGTGCAGGAGACGCTCGATGCGGGTCTGGAGATAGCTGCTGCGCGGAATGCGAAGGTCAAGATGCCGGCCTTTACTTGCTCGCAGCACGTGTACGGCGAACTTGACTACGACGATTTATTCAGCCGAATGGGTCTTGTTAAGCGAGAGAGCAACGTCGAACTTTCCGGTGTCTTTGAACTGGAGGAGTCACCGGAGGCTCTGTTGCGCGATGCCAACGATAGCTTCAAGGTTCCAACTCATCTTTACGACGAGCGTATCGCAATGCTCTCTGCTCTGCCAGCACTTTGCAGCTTCGTGCAGAACGGTAACGGTACTAATGAAGAACAGGGCGAGCTTAAAGCGCCGCTGCTTGAACCGCAGGCAATTGAAACGGCGAGTTTTGATGGAGACGGTTTTGCTAGCAGTCAGCAAAACTGTATTGACAGCGACGCTGAGTTCGTCGACAGCGGCGCCGAAAACCACGTTGAGAGTGGCGCTGAAGTTACGTCAGAATCACAAGCTGAAAATTCAGACGAAAGCGAAGCTTCGGAACGCAACGCAATCCGCAACGCCGCAACGAGCGACGCGTTCGAAGAATCTTCAGCTGAAGCTATTGAAGCCTACTATGATGCTGTCTCTGCAAGTTCCGAAGCGCAGGCAAGTGGTCAAGAAAGCTTCCAGCGCGAGGCAGCAGACGGTCTCGCGCCGTTCTACGGATTCATTACAGTTTGTCTGATTGCGAACATGGACTGGTTCGCAGTAGACGACGCAGAGCTAGTTTCGAGCGTTCAGGCCAAAGCTGCGGAGTTGCAGAAGCAAGATAGGCTCGACGCGTTCGCAAGAGGAGCGGCCGACCGGCTCGCGTTTGCCGCGGGGGAGTACATTTCGGTAACCTTTGACCACTTGCCGCTCGACTGGGTCGCAGAACAGCTCGAAACCGGGCGCAACGGCATAGTCGTATTGGGCGGCGTGCTGCCGAACGAACTGCTACTCACCAACTTGCTTTGCAAAGTGAAGAAGCACCGCTGGGCGCCGCGCGTGCTGAAATCTACTGAGCCGCTGTTGTTCTCGATTGGATGGGCGCGTTTCCAGTCACTGCCGTACTTCGCCATCGAGGACCGGAACTCCGTGCGACTGCGCTACTTGAAGTACACGCCAGAGAACATGCACGCGCTAATGTGCATTTCTGGCTACGCAGTGGCGCCGCAGACAGGCGTATTAGCAATGAAGTACTTCGACTGTGCGTATGAGGACTGGCGCATCAGCTTGACCGGTTCAGTCGTCGAGCTGCGCGAAGAGCCGCGGATCGTCAAGAAGCTGAAGTTAGTGGGCGACGTGGAATCGATCATGATCAACACGGCGTACATCAAGAACATGTTCAACTCGCGCTTCGAGGTCTCGCGCTGCGTCGGCGCCAAGATTCAGACCGTGTCCGGCATTCGCGGTGTGATCAAAGCGCCGAGCAACGACAGCGGCAGCTTCCGTGCGACGTTCGAGGCGAAGATTCAGCCGAACGACGTAGTGTTCTGCAAAGCGTGGGTGAAGGTGCCGGTCGAGCCGTTTGTCAACCCAATGCGCGACGTGCGTGCGTGGGATCGCTTGCGAACGTTCGCCGAAGTGCGCAACGACTTCCAGTTGGTGCGCAACGAGGCACAAGTGCGCGCAAGTGCGTACCGCCAGAAAGACCCGGCGCCGCAATACAAGTTCCGCCCGCTGCGGCTCGCAGAGGCTGAGGTTGCGAAGCTGCCGTTCAAAAGCTTGCCAAAGCAAACAGAGGCTGCGCCGCGCTCGTCCGTGCTTCAGCAGCCGCGCGACGTGCACGAGGCGTATGTCACGAGCTTGCTGCAGCGTGCGCGGCACGCTGAGCGCCTGCGCGCGAGCAAGAATAAAGAGAATCTCGCGAGAAAAGTGAAGCTGCGCGAGGCGCAAGACCGCCACAACTGCAAGATGTTAGAGTTGAAGTCGGAACACAGTGCGAAGGACCGCAAAATTTCTGCATACAAGGAGCGTAGCAAGAAACAAAGCCAAAAAAAAATTAAGTTGGGGCTCGACTAGCGCTCAGCGATCCGCTTGCTGGCGAGCCCGCAGTGCAGAGTCGGCGGCAGCTTTTCTTCGTTTTGTGGTATGTCGAAAACCAAAATTTTTGCACGGTTGAGCTTCTTGCCCACGCCGATGAGTCGGTGCGCACAGTGGAAAAACTCGCTCCGCTGCGTGATGAAAACGAACTGCGTCGGCGGCACCAAATTCGAGCGTACGAACAGTGCGAGAATCACTACGTTTCGCACGTCAAGCGCTGCGTCGATTTCGTCTAGGAAGAAGAAAGGACTCGGCTTGAAGTGGTGCAGCGCGAAAATCAGCGCGAGCGAAGTCATCGTTCGCTCGCCGCCGCTCAGCGAGCTCAGCGGCCGCCAACTCTTGCCTGGCGGGCGCACCGTCAACGAGACGCCGCTCGCGAACGGGTTCGAGTCGACGAGCTCTAAATCCGCGTCGCCCCACCGCGTGAACACCTGGTACAGTTCTTTCGTTTTTGCCGCAATTTCGCGAAAGCCAGCCGTGAAGCGGGCGAAGCGCTCGGCCTTGATCTGGCTCTGTTTCTGTGTCACCTCGTGCAGCTGTGCAGCCACCTTTTGGTGCCGCAGCGCAGCTTGCCGCAGTTCGTCAGTGCGCGCGTGAAACTCGTTGAGCAGCGACGCGCTGCCCAGGTTCTTCGCAGAGCACAGCAGCATCAGCTGTGCGAGGTCCTCGCGCAGCTGCTCGAGCGTAACAGCTGCGAGCGTCTCGGGCAGAAAAAATTGTTCTAACGGCCGCGCGCGCGGGCGGCTGTCGTCGCCGTGCGCGTCGAGCAGGTAGCTCGGCATCGCGACGTCGGCGTCGGCGTCAAGGCGAAAGTCGGCTTCCTCGAGCGGTGCGCCAGCGGGCGGCTCGGTGCTGGGCGCGAGCGTACCAGACGGAGCATCTACGCAGAAGGACTCCGGCAGTGCGGCGTACTCGCGGCACAGCCGTGAGCGTTCGCTCTCGAGCGTAGCGCGCTTCAATGCCAGCGCTTCTTCCTGCAGCTTCAGCGCCGACAACGCGTCTTCTGTGTGGCGCAGCACGCCTTGCAGCTCGTCGCGCTGGTTGCGCGCCGCCTGCAGTGTCGCGTCGAGCTCCGCGATCCGCTTGCTGAGGTCTGCGAGTGCTGGCAACTGCAGCACGGCTTGGCTCAGCGCCGCGAGCTCGGCGTCGGCGCGCTCGACGCGCTGCTGACAGTCGGCGCTGAGCGACTCGCATGCCGCCGTCTGCTGCTGCAACGACGGCAGCTCGACGCTCCGCAAGTGTTGCGCCCTGCTGAGTAAGTCGCTCTCGAGAACGCTGTAGTTCCGCGCCACGTTCGTAAAGTGAGCGAGCTCCTGCGACAGCTGTTGCTTCCGCAGAAGCGCGGAGCCGCGCTTCTCTTCGTTCAGCTTGTTGAGCGCGGCGCGCTGTTCCAGGATCTCGCGCTCTTTGTCGTTCAGCGCCGTCGATGTGCGCTGCAGCTCGCTCTGCAGCGACTTCGCCGCGGCCTCCAGCTGCGCCTTTCTCGCTTCGTCGTCGGCGGCCGCCGCGTTGCTCAAGTCGGCGAGTTTCTCACGCAGCCGCGTTTTCGCCTGCTGCAGCGCAAGGTCCAGCTCCTTGCCTTCGGCAATGCGCGACTTGAGCTGCAGTTCGATGCCCGGCAAGCAGTTCTGTGTGACGTACTCTTCGTCTTTGCGAAGATTGCGTAGCTTGCCGTTCAGTTCGGCGAGGTGAGCGGTTCTGCGGCTCAGCGAGTCGACGCTCTCGCGCGCGGGCTGCTCGAGAACGCGCAAGGGGATTTGCCGCTGCAGCAGAAAGTTCTGCACCATGCCGCCTGAAATGCTGCCGCTCTTTTCGATCAGCTCGCCGTTCAACGTGACTACGCGAAACTTCTGTTTGCCGCAAAACGCGATTTTGCGCGCTTCTTCGAGGCTGCCGAAGCAAACCAGCGTGTGTTTCAGGCGGTACCAAGCGACTGCGTGGAACATCTCGACGTCTGTTTTGACCAGCTGGGCAGCGCAGACGGCGCGGCCGTTGTGCGACTCCAATTCTTCGGCGAGCTGCGCGCTCGCGCTGTTCATCAGTTTGTAGCCCTGCGCGCTCACAGCGCTCCGGATCAAGCACGTCACTTTCCCCAGTTTGTGCGCCTTGACGAACGCAACGATTTGCTCGGCGGCGGCGAGACCTTCGACGACGACCAGCTCTTCGTTCAGTCCGGCGCAGGTCAGCGCGTTGCCGAGTTTCTCTGCATCGACCTGCAAGTGGTCTAGCAGAAAGGTGCCTTTTCCGGCGAGACTTCCGTCGGCGCTGGCGAACTCGGCGCTGAGTACGGTGTAGAGCCTTCGCTGGTTCAGCAAGAATTTGCTTTTCAGCGAAGCCAGCTCGGTTTGCTGCGCCGCAGAGATGCCCGCCTGGCACTCCGCGGTCTTCGCCTCCAAGTCGCCGATCATGTTGCGGATGAGCTCGAGCTGGTCGGCGAGGCCGCTTTTCTCGAGGAAGAGAGCGTCGACCAGCTGCGCCTTCGCGGAGATCTTGCTGTTGTACTCGCAGATCTGCGACTTTAGCGAGGCGAGAACCGCGCTGTGGTCCTCGCCTGCCTTGCTGAGCTGCGCCAGCTCTTCCTTGAGCTGCGACAGCTGCGCTGCTTGCTCGTTGCCTCGCTGCTCGAGCTTTTTCTTGTCGGAGACTAGCTGGTTGATCACTTCGTTGAACTGCTTCAGGTCGCTTTGCAGTTCGCGCTGCGATTTGTCGAGCTCTGCGTCAAGCGCTTCGAGAGCGGCCTCGCACTGACTGATTTTGTTTCCGGCGATCGCGAATTCGGCGTCCAGTTTCGCTTTCTCCGTTTCGAAGCTCCGCACAGCGCTCAGTTGCGCGGACTGCTGCTCGCCGAAGGTCTGTAAGTTTTTTCGCAACTCGATAAACTGTTGCTCGCTTCGCGCCTTCTCGTTCGAGACTCGGCTGCGCCGCTGCTCGAGCTTTTTGTGCTCAGTTTGCGCCCTCAGCAGTTCTCCCTGCGCCGTATTAATGTCCGCAGTAGAGGCGGCGACCTGCGCGTCAGTGTCCGCGAGTCGTGCAGCAGCTGCAGCTCGCTCGAGCAGCAGCAAATTGCGCTCCTGTTCCAGCGCAGCGAACTCGGTAGCCAGAGCGCAGTGCTCCTTTTCCACTATGGCGTATTTGCAGAGCAGTAGCAGCAACTGATGCCGTAAGTTTCGGTAGATTACTCTGACCTCCGGCAGCATAGCTTTGAGCAGCTGACGGCGGCGATTGATCGCTTGCTCGGCTTCCTGCAACTCTTCTTTGAGGTCGCAGCTTTTCTGTTCGAGCGCTGCGATGCTCGGCACGAGAACGTCAGTGCCGATGATCGACTCGCACAGCTCCAGTAGTCCGTTCCGACTGCCGTCGGGCGCGATCGGCGGCAGCGCTGCCAAGCGCTCGATCTCGCCCTGCAGCACGAGAAACCGGTTCGTGTTGAGGTCGACGCCGTAGCTGCTCAGTTTCTGCTCGACGTCGGCGTAACTGCAGACCGCGCCGTTCAAAAAATAGCGACTGCGCGAGTTGAGCGAAATGTCTCGCCCCACGCTGAAGCTGCTAATGGACGGACCACCGGATTGGTCCGCCAGAACGTTGAGATAGATCTCCACAGCGGCCTCGCTGCACGCTAAACCTTGTGATTGGTGGATCAAACCGGTCAGGTTCTTGTTGCGCAGCCGACTCGCCCGCATGCCGAAACAGAAGCAGACCGCGTCGACGATGTTGCTTTTGCCGCTGCCGTTCGCGCCGATGATCGCATTGAGCGACCGATGCAGCGGTCCGATCGTGACTTCGCCGGCGTAAGTTTTGAAGTTGCGGACCACAACGCGATCCATCGCGACGTGCAAGCTCGGCATGAACTACACGCCGTAGAGCCGCCGCAATCGCGCGCGACGAACTGTCGATGCGCGCGCAGCGGAAAACCAAAAAATAGCTGCAAAATTTTCCGAAATTAAGGCATATAAATCGCAGGTTGATTCGAATCAATTATCATGAAAAAAGAGAAAAGCTGGCCGATTATTCGCCAATGTACGAGACGAGCGGGTGCAAGTAATCGTTATCGTTTTCCGGCAAGTGACGATAATAGTCGCGCATAAATTTATATAACCGCAATCGTTCCACAGCTTCAGAGAGAGAGTCGTTGCCTACTATGCACTTAACGGGTGCAAAGTGCGTAGCGCGGTCTACAAGGACGAGTTGCAAGTAGTCGTGCAATGGGAACTTGTCGAAATTGAAGTACTCCGGCTTGCCAATATTGTAAGTCTTAATCTCTCCGTTTTTTGCTCGAACACGCATTTGCTTGCGGGCAATGTGCACCTGCAGCTTTTCGGGCTTGAACATCTTACTGCCCATAAAGTAGGTACCGGTGTTCGCGAGTGAATATAACGGAAGACCATTACTATCCACTGCTTGGCGAAGAGTATCCGGCAGCTCAGAGTATTCAAACAGCACGTTTCTATGTTCGTTGTCGTGAGGCGTTTTTGCTCTGACGAGCACGCCAACTTTCTCGTTCGGATTAGATTTGCGCACCACTACGTTGAGTAGGGCATTTTCGCCACTCTCAGCGGCGATTCCGACCAAATAAGGGTCCGCAGGAAAAGTCAACACATTGTCAATGTTGTTGATCTGGAACAGTTTGATGCCGCTAGTTTCGAGATACTTCAGCAAACCGGAATTTTCAAAGTCTTCGTGAATGATGCCCGGACCGCATGGCGCGCAAAGCAGGCGGTCGTTCGCGGCAGGGTCCATGATGTACTTGCGCTCCTCAATGTCGAGCACCGGCAGTTCGGTTTGAGTGAGCAGCATGTAGCTGAGGCCTTCGAGTTCTTCGTCATTAGCCAGCCGTTCCTCGATTGCTTGGCGGTACTGCTGGTTTACGACGATGACAACGGGGATTGTGAGCTTCACATCCTCCTTTGCCGTATGCGTATCCTGCGCTATGCCGGTTTTTATGAGATCCTGTAGACGCAGAATGCGCTTCAAGTGGAAGTCGAAAAAGTCGACTTTGGGTGTAAAATCTTCAAACTTGAACAACCCTTTAGCAGTGTCAATTTGCATGCGCGAGCCGTGACCTGCTGCGAGCAACACGTAGCAGAACTGCCTCTTGCACAGAACCTTGAGGCCATCGACAAAGTACTTTTTGGCTTTTTCAAAGTCATCTTTCGTCAGCAGTTTTAGGCACCTCTTCTTGTCGCGTTTCGGGTCATATGTGTCAAAGGACACCTCGGGGACAGGTGACGTAGTTTTGATATCACCAGGAAGCGGGTTGCCTTTGTCGAGAACTTTCTCCAATTCGGGCTCACGACGTTCTAAGTCGAACGAGGCAAGTTTGTTGAGCTTTCGAGCCAAACGTTTTTTGTCCTGGGTAGACAATAAAGCGTTGGCGTCCTCTGGTTTTAGAAACTTCAATTTTTTCAGCGACTTTTCAACCTCCTGCTCCTTTCGTCCGCTGATCAGTTGTGATAATCGTTCGTCCCCAAGCCAGTTTTGGAGCGGATAAGATAACGCCTGGTACGAACTTGAGACCTCAGCCCACACCTTGGGGTCTTTGAAGAGCTCTGAATAGACATTTACGAAGTCAAGGTGGGCCGGGGTCAGCTGTATCCGCATCGTTGAATTATAAATTTTATTTAGTTTATTAGCTAAATTGTTGTCGCGAACGTCGTTGTCGCATGCAAATTTTTACTGCCTGCTAAATCAATTTCCGCAATGGACAACTGGTACCGAGTTTTGGCGTATCTACCCTTGGTGGGAATCTGTGCGATCGTAGCTGTTGAGACTTGGATCTTTTTCGATACGATTCTGCGCTACCACCAGAACGCATTGTGGATAATCGTCGTGACGACGACAATCGAGGCGCTGTTTCTGCTGAATTTTGCTTTGACGTGTTTTGTAAACCCTGGCTCAATTCCGTCGTCTGACGTTTGGAATATCGCGAACAAAGATGCGCGTGTGGGGCTGCCGCGGATTCACGAGCGAAAGTACAACATGAAGGGCGCGCTGGACCCGCGCAACAGCGACACCGGCTCGATCCGTGTCTGTCGCTGGTGCGAGAAAATTAAGCCAGACCGCACACACCACTGTTCGCGTTGTTCGACGTGCGTACTACGACTCGACCACCACTGCACTTTTATCAACCGCTGCATCGGGCACTACAATGTGAAGTACTTTGCGCTGATGCTGATATACGGCTTTCTGCTACTCGCATTCGTCGAAGCTCTTTGCATCCCGGTGGTCAGCGATGTGACCGCACTGCGGCTTCAGTTCATCGAGGCGGGTGTAGCGTGGAAGGTGATGTTCCTGTTTGTGCAAAACTCCCTGATGCTGCTCGTCGTCGGCAGCTACGCCTTCTTTTTTTTGTACTTGGTGTGCGAAAACCGCACAACGCTCGAGTTTTGCGAGAAAAGCTTAAAGGCGCGACGAAACATCAGTATTAACTGGGACCGGGGAATTCTCGCGAATCTAAAGCAAGTCTTCGGCAACAACGTGCTGCTGTGGCTGCTGCCCACCGTGCGCGACATCGGAGATGGCTTGTCTTTCACGCCCTCGGATCGTGCAGAGCAGAGCGAACCGCAGCAACTCGAACAGCACAACGCTTTAGTATCGCATCAAACATTGTAGATAGGGTTTAGAGGGAACGTGTTTCGGCCCTCGTTTTTCAGCCATTGAAGCATTAACGCGCCGGGCTGACGCTCCTCGTAGAAATGCTGCGCGTGCAGCAAAGTGAAGTTCGCCCAAAGTTTGAAGTCCATGGCGATTGTGAGCGGGCTGGTAGCTATTTTGGTTTTTTTTATTCTGCACAGAGAACATACTCCATCGCCGACGTACGCAAGGCGAAACGAGTTGTATTTTAGTTTATACCGAAAGTCCGACTTGTGTTCAGACAACCAGTAGTACGCGGGTACGACGTCTCTAACCTGACTGTCTGGCACGAGTTCGAAGCTAAGGTACTCCGTTTCAAACTGCAGCCGGACGACGAAACAGTCGGTTCTGATTTTGTTAAGCAAAGACGGCGTCGACGTAACTTTCTGGCGGTACCGCTTGCAAAACCGTGCGTTGTCTAGAATCGAGATGTTGCTCCATCGGGTAGAGCGCAGAGACGGCAGTTGCTCTTGAAATGGAGAGTTTTTCAGCCCGATCGGGCCGCCAGAGCAGTATGACTGCACCTTCGCGATAAGCTTGTTTTTTTGGTTTAAGCTAAAAATGTTAGTCAGCTGCGCGTCGGAGCCAATTAAACCTTCTGAAGTAAACTCTATCACGCGGTAGCCAATCAGCTTCACGTATCTGCCAAGATACCGGTCTGCCAAAATGATTTTGTCTGCCTCGCGGATCTCTTCGCCCGAAAATGTTTGATTGTCGAAAAGATAGTCGCTCACGTACCACTCGTACTTGCTAATCGGGAAACTGTTTCGATAAGGAGAGTTATCGACGGCTACGAGCGTGCTGCTTACCGTGAAGTCGCCAGCAATGGAAATAGGGTGCGAAGCGGAGCTCAACAGTTGCTCAACCGAGTTCTTGTGCTCGTCCAACGGCAGTTCTCGCACAATGTGGCGCCGATTGTTCGCATGCTTCAAATCCTCGACCCACGACTCTGAACTGGAAGAAACTGATGTTAGCTGTGCTTCGTCGATTTTCGATGCCTCATCCTGCGCGGAAGCTGAGTTTCTCGACAGAATCGAGTCAATCAACCTTTGAATGTCGAAGGTCGACAGAAAGCGTTTTTCATTGTTGCTTTCGCTCAAACGATCTATTCTAATGGCTTCCAGGTTGTCTTTGACTCGCGTACGGTCTAGCAGCGCGTCCACGGCGTGCCGCTGTGGCGCAATTTTTGAATCGCTCTGCCCCATTTTGCATGCATTATTTCCCTATTTGCGCCGCCAAAGAAACGACAAGCGTTGCGCACGGGTTAGGCATTGAAATTCTCCAGGGTAGTGACGAGCGAGTCAAAAAAATATTTGAACTCGAAGTGCCCACGCTTTTCCTTGATGCGGATCCAGTTTTCGTGAATCACGAATGACTGATTGCAGAACAGTTTGCACAAGTTCTCGTTCAACACGGAGCCGCGGTTCGTTTCGTCTAGGTGCGCCGTCAGTCGTTCGATGGCTCCAGTACTGCCAATTATTCCTGCGCGTTGCTGCTTCGGAGCCTGTTCGCAGTCCATCGCAAGGTATCTGAATCTATTGGGTATTGTAATATTTTTCGTGTTGAACCTCATGACGTCAACGCCGAGAAAACAGTAAATGATGAATGCAACATTGATGAATGTGGCTGCGAAAGGATGGTAGTTGGGCAGCGAGCACAGATTTCGAATTTGAAGATGACAAGGCTTTCTAAAGTTGCGCAGCACTTGCAGCAGGTCCTCGCGCATTTTTACGGTGTAAACCGAGGAGTCAAACGGTGCGGGTGAGTAGCACGCGCTCATCAGTTCTTTCATCTTGAGCGGGCTGCGAACGGACATGTCGGCGAGCAGCAGCAAACCGAGTAGCCCGCAGCCGCGGAAGTCGGTGTAAGGGTTGCGCGACTGAAATCCGACAATGATCCAGCGTGAATCAGGCACTGCAGGAATCTTAAAGTTGTCGTTGCTATTTTTGTTCAAACTGTTGATGCCGCACGGCTTAGAGTTAATGAATCCGGAGTAGTAAACTTCGAGCAGCCGCATGTGGCGATAATCTGAAGGCGTGACGGGTGTGTTCGCAAGTAGGCGCAGGTTGTAGAGCATCGTCAGTTGCTTCTGCGTCACCAAGATCGTGCTGGTCAGCAGAGTGCATCCCGGGTTCCAGCGCAAGCCCAAGCACCCGCACAGCAAGGGCTTTTTCTGCGTGCGCTGGTGGTACGACGCTTCGAGTTGCAGCTTAATTCTTGGCTCATTTGTGGTTCGGACTTTGCACGCTGGGCATAAACTAATGAACATTCAAAAGCATGTTTTGCTGCGAAGCTAGCGCAGGTCGTGTCCTACTTTCAGCTTACGTCACGTTTTGCCAAAGCCACACCGGAGCCAGCCAACGTAGCAATACTGACCAAATATCGTGTGTCAAAATAGCAATGCTGAATTGATCGCGATTTTTTTCAGAAAAATATTAGAATTTCAGTTTAGGAAAACAAACAGTTGTGCCGGCGCGACATTGGTGAGGCGGCAGCGTTCACTGTAGCGGCGCGCCCAAATACGCAGAAGTTACAATTTTGTGAAATTCATTTTGAAAATGATTATACCGATTCGGTGTTTTACCTGCAACAAAGTCATTGGCCATCTGTGGGAGAAATACCAACAGCTGCTGCAAGACTCTGTCGCTAAAGACGCGTAGGTTGCGGTCACTGCAACGCAGAACAATTTTCGAGCAACTGGGTCTCAAGAGGTATTGCTGTAGACGCATGTTGATTGGAAACGTAGAGGTAATCGACGACATCATAAAATACAATCGTAAGTGTACCGCGGCGTGAAGCAGCTCTCGAACGACGCGCAGTGCCGTCACTGGAGTGAAAATTCCGCCCGTTTCACGCGCACACCAAGCTGGCGCTACGTTATTATATAAACTGAATGTATTTAGTGCTTGCGCTTTTTGTCTAGCTTCTTCTTGTAAAAGTCGAGCTCTTCGCCTTCGAGGATGTACCCGTTGGCAACGCCAACCTGGCCCGGTCGCGTAGTGATGATCGCGAGGATGCGGCCCGAGCGGATCTGATCCGTGATCGAGTTGTCGAGCTCCACGTTCTCCGCACGACTCGCGCGTTTCTGTTCGGTAAGCTTGGATATCTTCTCGCTCTGGTCCGCGGTCTTACCGAAGTCTAATCCGTATCGCGAGATCAGCAAGTTCTTAAACGGGCTCGCGTCGACATACACGACGGCGCCCTTCGTGATGGTGTTGGTGCGCACGAATTCATTGGAAGTCGCGTTGTAGACGATGTTCATGATCTTCGTTTTCACGGAAAGCTGTTCGCTGGACCACGTGAAGGCGCCGCTGTCGACGCGCAGTGCGCGGAATTTTGTGTTGCCGCCGCGCGTGCGTACGGTGTGAACGCGCTTCACTCCAAGCTTCGTTTTCGCAGCCGGTCGACCGAGCTCGTACTTGCGCTTCTTCTGGTGGATGACGCGAGCGCCGCCGCTTGCTCTTCTTTTGTGACGAGAGTCGCGAGAAATACCCATGTCCAGACACCGAGCTACAGACTTTTAATTGATTAAAATAAGACACAACAAAAAATTCTTAAGACGACCAGAACGCAGTCGTTCGGTTTTGCCGCGGCCATATGGATCTCGTTGCGCTCATCAATAAGCGCGCGAACGACTATGTGGACGTTGCGGTGTGGACTAAGTATGTAGCTCCATATTACATGTAGACAGCTGCAGACAGAGTTGCGCAAATCTGATGCAGTAGATCGCGACGAACAGCGCGCGTGTGCCGTCGAAGACGGCTTTCAGAGTGCGTCCGGCAAAAAGAACAACAAACGCTTTAAAAGGAGTTTGTGCGACACCACGGGTAGCTAGCGGTGTCTGCGGTACCATTCGTCGCCCGTAATGCTTGCTTCCGGAACTTCTGCTGCGAGTTTTTCGCAGCACTGCAGCAACTCCTGCACGCTTTTTGCGACGGCAAACTGCTTATAAAACTCTGGGCGATGCTTCAGAAACGCAAACATCAGTTTCCAGACGTGGAACCGGAAGTGTTGCAGCGGGCTGTTAAGCTGTTCGCTGATGCTGCCGAGCTCTCTGACTAGCGCGAGTCGAGAAATCCGCTGGCTATGAAGCAAGGCGGGGTTTTCAAGAGCAGCCTCAGCAACCATCACGGCGTCGCAACAACCGCTTGCCAAGTAGGCGTCAGCGTCAACCTTGCTTGCGACAGACCCGTTCGCAATGAGCGGCTTGCGGAAAACTTTGCGCAAGTAGCGCAAAAAGTTGGCGTTGGCGCTCGATATGCTGTGACCTCTGTTGCTAATGTCTCGCAGGTGGATCGCCAGCGCCGCAATGCCTAGTTTATCGAGTTCTCGCACGATATACAGCGTCTTCGGAAAGCGCGACTCGAATAGCTGCTCGAGTCTCGCCGCGTAACTTGGGTCGACGAACAGTTGTGGGTTTAAATCTTTTAGTTCTGCGTCGTTCTCGGCAATACGGATTTTTACAAAAATTGGGACCGTGGTCTCTTCTACTAGTTTCCTAACTATGCGAAATAGCAACTCGGGCTTTTGCAGCAAAAAAGCTCCGTACTGACCGCGACGTGCAATCCCCTGCGGACACCCGGCGTTCAAGTCGATGGCGACAACGCGATGTTGGATTTTCAGCGCGGCTCGCAGAACAGTGTCTGGGTCGCACCCGCAGAGTTGCTGCACCAAACGTTCCTTGCGGTAGCCGGGCAAGTCTTTGAGCTCAGGAAAATTCTTACGAGCGTAAGCCTCGTCTTCGTCTAACAGTCGCGAGTGAAGCATGGGCCCGTAGGCGAGGTCGAAACCGTACTTGAGTACGAGATAGCGAAACCCTGCCTCCGAGCCGCCCACCATCGGTGCAAGGACGTAGCGTGGGCTGCCGAGCTCTCGCCAAAACGCAAGTGCTTGTGACTTGTTAAATAACATCTCGGCGACGCCGGTTAACACTGCTACTCAAGAGGCTCGATGGTTTCGCACTTCAAATCGCCGATACTTGTGCGCAAGCAGCCGGATTTTAAATTAATCGAGCGTAAAAAGCCAACCTGAAAGTTTTCAGGAGCGCCTCTGTCCGGTATGAGTTTAACTTTCTGACCTAGGAACGCAGTGTACTTGTCTATGAGCAGCGCAATTTCTGCCAGCGGCGGGAGTTGTAGTAAGAGGCACTGGCAAATTTGCGCTTGCAATTCTTTTTTGGCGTCAGCGATAGTTTCTAGTGGCGAAACGAAACTGGATAAACACCCTGCAGTTGGCAAGTCGCTGCCGCGCACCACGTTTATGCCCATGCCGATGGTGTAGACATTTTTCTGCTTCTGGTTCAGCTTGGCAACCAAGATGCCGCCGACCTTTTTGTTCTCTATAACGAGGTCGTTTGGCCATTTGCTTTTGCAGACCGCGGTGCTCCCGTGCTTTCTCAAAAACTGCGTGATGATTTTGGCGACAAGCAGCCCGCACGACGCCGTCAGCGACTCGACTGGCACATGCTCAATGTCTACAACCAGTGACAACTTGATGTTGTTCTCTTTGCCGAGATCATCCCAGTGCCTGTGCCGCTGCTGGACTTCGCAGCCCACGCCGCCGTACTGATGGTCGGTGGTGACGATGATGCCGCGCTTTCCGTCGGCCAGAAACTCGCAATAGCGTTCCTGGTGCTCCAGGATGTTTAAGTGTGTGCTTCTGCACGAAGGAAAGCGAACATAGAGCAGACTACCTTCTTCGGTGACGCTAGCGCTTTCTTTCTCATCTTGCGCGATTATGCGTGAAAAATCGTCGAGCCTGTGCATGATGGCGCGTTAATCAAAAATTGCTCAATATCTATTAATAATTGTACGCCAGAGCCGCGGCCGCGGGCGCGATTAAATGGACTGAAAATCGCGAAGAGTGTGCGAAAACGCGAAAACGACTTTTCGGTAAAATGCTCCGTCTGCGCTAACGAAAATATTAAATGAATCTGTTGCTAAAAATAATTGATTAAGACAGTGCGCTAGCTTCGGCTGCTTAATGTCTTTGTTGGTAAACAGCGTGGCCAAACGGATTCGCAATGATAATTCGCTCTTGATTTCGCTGGAAGATGGCTTGTCTTCCGCTGGCTCACCTTGCAGCAGAGACATCCGCGGCGCGTACGACGCCCACGCGCTGTTATCGCTTTTAGAGCAATTCCCTACGCAGTGCTACGGGTTTATAAAAACAGTGCTGTCTTGTTGCAACAACAGTGTGGCCGAAGCGCGCGAGTTTTTGCGCAACTCCGCTGTCTGCCCGCCGGTCGCGGAGCGTACGCCTTCACGCAAGCGGCTTCTGACGCGCGCTGTAACGGACGACTTGGGCGAAATGCTGCACTCAGACGAACCTCCGGCGACGAAGTCAATGCAAATTAACGCTCTGGCGCGCTACGTAGTCAACAGCACCGAAGAAGACGCGCATCAGAGCTCGTTGCTCAAGCAAATTGTGCTTATGCAGGCCTCGAAGGTGCAGGGTTTGCGGCGCGACTTGACTAAAGCGCGCGAGGAACTCTCGGCCGAGCGGAAGCTGCTGGAGAAAGAGCGGAAGAAAAACACAGAGCTCACTAATTGGATTAAACTATACGTGCAGCGCAATCACGACGACTTCGATGACCAGCCACAAGACCCACGGTTAAATTTTTCGACTCCTGGGATGTCTACGCGGTTCTGCTATTAGCGGCTCGGCTGCGGTAGATGGCGCGCGCAGTGTGCGCTTGGGGCTGCGGAGGCACGGGGAAGCTGCGGCGCAGGCGAGCAGCGTGGCCATAACAACTTTGGCGAGCGCAGTGTATACGCGTAGCGCAGCGGAAGCGATTTTTGAAACTGCATCGCGCGACGGAAGACTTACTTTTCTCACCGTTGACGCATTCGGTTTGCGCGAGGCGCACGATGAAGTCGCGTACGACACCGTTGCACAGAAGATCAAGAGGCAGCGCTGCTTTGCTGCAGTAGCGGCAGCGAGCGACTGCAATGAGCTTTTCGAGGTGCGCGTTGAAGCTGCGCAGCAGTTGACTGATGGTTAGGACTACCCCGAGCGAGGCTAAAGCTTCTTTCATGGCATTGATCTACGCGCGGCGGGATTCAAAATTTAATAAAATTCTCTCATATCTAACGTCCTCTGAAACTAAGGATTTGATGTTGGTTCGCAGGTTTGAAGCCGCGCAGGTTACGCGGTTTTACCATGTATCTGCTGAGAAGCCTCTGGTACGTTTCCTTGATACGCGAGTAGTCCAAACCGTTCAAGCCCTCTGCAAAAGAGACAATGATGCTAAAAATTAACTTGGCCGAAAGCGATTTGACGGCCAAGTCCGCGACTGCTGAGTTCAAAGGATCAAAGAATGATCTGATGAACTTGGCGAGGAAGCTAAAGAGCAGCGTGTTTTGCGAGGCTGAGGTGTCGGCGTCGGATCGCGAGATGATGGACAGGAACGTGTGCGGCATTGCGATTTGCTTCGTTGCGCTTGCGCTGCTGCACATGGAGGAAGAATTTTCGCTGAACGAGATGCTGTCAATGTTTGGCGACGCTGGTTCCGAGTCCAAGTTCTTGCTGCTACTTCACAAGTACTACGCCGCGCTGAAGCATTGGAACCAGCTTCCTGGTCCAATTGACTGCGCCGCGGTGGGCTCGTTGATGAAAAACCGCTACGTGCCGAACTGCTACCCCGAGACGGACGACACCGCGTCGCCTGTGCTGCGATTTGCGGACGAGAAAGACGAGCGCGAAGTCGAGGAGCTTTTGGCGCTTACGCAGGGCTGGTTTGCGGAGCAGTTGCAGCGCGCGGCGCCACTGGAGACTGCGGTGCGTGAGCGCGTGAACGCACTAATGGCGAAGCAGCCGAAGCTGGTGCAGAACCGCTGCAACTACGCGCACGCGTTCGTGTTCAGCACGTTGCCGGCGTGGTTGAAGCGGCCGCTGTTTCTGCACAGCCAGTCAAAGCGTCTAGCGCATATTTTCAATCTGTGGGACATGGTGAAGACCCGCAGGTACCCGGGCTGGCCGGTGCCGTGGGAGCGCGTGTGTCTGGATTCGGTGACCAAGCAGTTGGGTTTGGCGTAGCTGCGACTGCTGGTAGTTAGACGGCCACAGGCGACGGCTGGGAGACTGCTGCGCAGCGCGTCGGCGGCGGCGCATTGACGGCAGGTGGCTCGAACAGCGACTGAAGCGCGTAGCACAACAGCCAGCTTTTGATGTAGATGTACTTGTAGTCGTCGAACTGTTGCGCGAGCTCGTTGACTCTTGCAAGCGAAGGGTCGCGCGCAATGAAGCTGCGCGCGTCGGCGAGAAACGCAGCGCTCAGCAGTCGCGCTTTGAGGGTGTTGACTTGTGCGTCAGTAACCTGCTGCAGGTACACGGTAGAGGTGACAAACATTTCCTTCAGCTTTGCCGGCGGCTCGCAAAAGTACACGCCGGCGAAGTGCGCAAGGACTTCGCAGAAGTAGTGCTGCTTGGATAGCGGGCCGAAACTGTGCGGCGCGGCGTCGCTAGGGCGGTAGGCAGTGCGGTAGTACTCGGGCG